AAGGACACTTCAGCAACCCGCCTACAAACTCTCACTAGTCACTTCCCGGAAATAGCGGAGGCCCGCCTCCTTACAATGGGAAAGACTTCTCCTCCAACCATAGATCAACACTTGGTAGGCAGAGAAAGCCCAGCTCCCTGCCCCCTTCCCACCTGGGACACTACCATCAAAATGGCCAAAATGACTGAGGATATCCTCACCACCTTCATATATACAGGTATAACCCTAACTGTAGAAAGGGGTTAAAGAAGAAAAATTCCCCTAGTCTATAGAAGATACACAGGAGGGCACACTAGAACACCTAAGTTCTAAAGCTCCTAAAATTTCTCTTTTTAACCTCATGCAAGATGATCAACTGACTTGACCTTCGGAGGTACCATAGGGGAAATGGTCCCCGCCCTCTCACGGTTGTTCTTCTTATCTATGCAACGAGGAAGGAGTTTTCTAGATCAAAGAACCAGGCTCAGAGTCATGCAAATAGATGACCCCTTCTCACACCAACTCCCTCTGTTTCATCGCAGTGACGGCATGAGCGGAGCCGGTCCTCTTCTCTCGATCGACTGTTTGATTCACCAGCGAGCACCTACCTTCCGCTCGACACCCGCCGTGGGGCGGGCCGAACTCCTACAGCGGGATTCTTCATTCCTTCACCCCGAAGGGACGAACCAATCTAAGCATCAACTGATACTATAGCAGGGAACTATAGCGGCACGGGATACTGTTCATGCAGATCCGACAGTTGAGATTGATTTGTCTTTTGATCAAGGATTTAGAGTCAGATTTTGGTGATCCATGAGTTGTTCCCAGGGTTTTTTGACGTGCTGAGTTTATTTTTTACGTCGGTTTTATTAAATTCAATCTCTACAGTGACTAATTTGAATTTTAATTACTGTTAGAGGATGATGACTTATTCGGATCTAAAGTTTGATATTCCGCTATTCAATGACAAGATAGATCTGATGGCAGATAACGAGCATGAGTTGGTTTGTGTATAGATTCGAGGAGGACAGTACCAGATTAGGTGGAGCTTGCAAGCGAGCATGACCGAGTAACACATAGGAAGATGGAGATGGCAGCATTGGACTTGAAGACGATGAGCGCTCATATTCAGTCCAAGGCAAGTGATGGAGATATAGAGGCATCCGGCTCGTAGTGTGGAGTAGGAGAGGTGCACCAATATGATTCGAGACGACCGATGCAGGTGGAGTACAATGACAGCAAGTGGGGAAAGGCTATTGTCAAGATCAGTTCAGGAGGAGAACATGGTTGATTTGCTTCTAATGTTAGAGGTGGAGGATATCTTGGTGCGTACAAGAGAGGTGGAGGCGCCACGACGAAGCATATGATAGTGAAGGTCACAGGACGTCCAAGTTGGAGTGCATGTGCTTAAATTTGAAGTGCAAAAGAAATAGAAGGCTCTAGCGGGAGAGACAAAGTTTCAAGACTCATTTATATATATAAAAAGTCTCTTCATATCATACAAGGATCCCTAGACAACATGAGTGGATAGAAACTTTAATGGACCATCCACTTAAGTTAACATAAGTTTTTAGTGGATAGAAACATATATATATATATATATATATATATATAAAGAGATTAATGGGTATTCTTCTCAAGGAGGGGATTTTCCTCCTTTACGCTGATGTGAAACAATCTTCACCATGTCATAAAGTAGGAGAGAGAATTTGAGTTAGTGTGGGTTGTGTCACATCATTGTCAAAAAGGAAAATCTCCTCCTTGACAAGGATACTCATTAATCTCATATATATATAAAGAGATAGAGGATATAAGCCTTTTGTCCACCAATTTTTTTATCCATTCATTATATTTTGATATTTGTGCTAGCATGTGATACAAACGAAGGCACAACTCTGAAAGATAACATTCATGTGTAGCAACATTTAACATATAAACTTGCACTTAATCGTTCCATACGAGCGCCTATTATTTCTTGGCGCATTAGAGTACAATTGCTGGTATATGTATTTCTTCTTTCCTGCAATACTAGCACTTGGGAGAAATATAAATGCATGAGGTTGGATGTATAAACCTTTTCTTTTTATTTTATTTTTTATTTTTGCTGAAAAACCCCCCTTTTTATCTTCTCTATGGTGAGTAGAGTAGTCTATACCCTGTCCACAGAAATCCACCCAACAAAAATACGTTTATACATCTTGAATTTTCGGTTTTGGTTTTTTTCTTTCACTCAACGTGATAGTATATTATCTCACTGTTGTTCTCTCAATTCTTTAAGGATTAATTAAAATCTGCTACCTTGAGGCCTGGTGTGATTACACGAGTGTCCTTGAAGTTTGCGTATCTACATGTCTAATCCTGAAGTTACTGATTATAGTTATATGTACAATCTTAAGAGTTAATTGTCATTTGAGCTCCAAGATCAACTATGTAGTTACAATTTGTGATCTCAGAAGTACCCAGATAGATATGTAGACTTCAGGATCACCAGTGTAATTACACCAAACCTCGGGACACTGGATTGTTTAATCCTGTCTTTTAACTAGAAATTTTTACTCCTTCACAATCAACACTGCTTCTCTCCTGTCCTTCAGCGATATTTTCCTTTTTTCTTTCTTTAGCATTTTTCATTCTCCCGTGTCTTCTTCATCAAATGCCATATTTTCTGATCCCAAAAGTTCAGACATGATAGACTCATTGCACAGGACATCAATAATATGATTTTGTTTTGTACTTATCAAATCCTTGATCATTCGAAGCAACAAAATTTCCACAAGGACAGCACAGTAATTGGCCTTCTCATTGTAAAGTCGCACTACGAAAATAAAAAACAGGGCAAATTATTATTTTTTTAAAATGAAAGCACCAGAAATTCTCTGCCCTTTAATTTGCTAAAAACTAAAAAGAAACTTTCCAAAGGGGAATTCATTTTTATCTAGTCTCGTTGAGTGACAGCAGTGAGAAAAGAAAATCGAGCATTCACTCTTATTTGTGGATGTGCTTAGAATATGAACGTAATCAAAATTAACTATCTACGAGCATATGAATGTGATGCACTACATTATTTCAAGACAAGTATCAACAAAAATCTTTACATGTTATTATTATATACCGGAACATTTCAGGGATTAATCGTTTTTTTTTTGTGGGGATATCCCACAGGTCATACATATTTCTCAGCTAATGTTTTAATCTCTGCATACATACCGAGTATTTTCATATCGCTTTTCATGCTAAATAAAGTCAGCCAACTCTATAAGGAAGCATTGACAATGGCTTTTCCCTTGATATCAGAGACAGCACCATCTGCATCTCCAATGCTTGCCTTGTCCTCGTCTTTCTTTTGTTTCTGCACAGCTTGCAACTCGCTTCGCAGGATCTGTCATAAAATGGTTATAGAAGATAGTTAATTGGCGTATCTGGTGTATATCAGAGGATTAAATGCAGATGTACTCCCTGGACTATAGGGGTGTATCTGCTAATCATCCATGACCTATTTTAGGGATAATTTGAAGATGGACCCCCAGTAGTATTGATGTTTGGAACTTACTAGTTCTCTGGTTTCATTTTCCCAGAGAGAACCGAGTGAAATTTATTGACTCTTTTACCCTCAGAGAAAAAGAAATTAGTTTTTGAAAAATAGCCAGGGTAAAAGAGACAAAAAGAAAAATCACCCAGTGGTTCTGTTTGCAACAATAAAACTAGAGGGGTAGTAAGTTCAAAACAACGATACTACAGTGGTCAATCAGCAATCTGACACTATTTTATTAGCATGTACACTCCTAATCATGATGACGGTGTTACTTTTCCATTAGTTTTTGAACTCCTGTGAGAATCAATTGATGGTCAAAGTATAAGACAGCTGTCAAGAACAGTCCCATGTATTCTCACTGGAATTTAGAAACTAACAAAAAGTAGCATCATCCCAGGATCAGTGGGTGTATGTGCTAATAAATTTGAGCGTCAGTGATAAATAGCTAAATCTCGTAGTAAAGGGAGTGCATCTGTAATTAACACTATGATGAGAGCAAACTTCTCCTGTACAGAGAGGAGGCTCCAAACCTCTAGGTTCTAATGAAAACAAATTTGGTTGAACCCTATTACGTTTGTAGGGAGATGGAAATGATTTATGTATACCATGATTAAGAGAGGAAAATTGTGAGGTCTGTTCATTATCGTACAGTTAGTAATCAGGGTTATATGCAAGTAATGAAAGCAAATATACTTTCATATCACACTTACCTAGGCATTTTGAAAGATGAAGAATCACGATGAAAATGAGGAATAGAAAAATAGATGACCCCGTATTTATTTAGGTAAGTAAAGTGCAAGAGGTCGAAGACACAACCACATATCATAATGAATGCTGTTAAAAAGATATTCAGGTTTCAACGTGGCTATTAAACAGTTCGCAGAAAATTGCAGATGGTCTACTAAAAGAGTTTGATATACTTATTAAGACCGATTGGCTAAAAAATATATGAGACAATCTACAACAAGGGCATATCAATAATGTTCTGCAGGCTCCTGCAGTTTGTAAAGAACCATTAAAAGCATATAAATAATCATCATTACTTGGAGTATGAATTAATATTTGCACAGAGAACAATTCCAAGTCACACCTAGAAATATCTGAAGACAACTAGTTAAAAGTTGCACCTTAAGATGAAATCACTAAATAAGTGTTATCCAACAGCAAATTAGATTACCTCAATCTGGGTCTGGATAAAAGCCTCGCGTGCTTTCAACATGGAAATTTTAGGGTCTGGATTGCCTATAGCAGGAGCTGGAGTAGCTGGCATATTTCCATAACTTACTGAGGAATATCCAGAAGACCTGAAGATGGGACAAAAGTAGACATGACCATAAATATACACATGCAGTTAAAAATATCACGGATTTAAATATGCAATATCAAGCATTAGAGTGTTAATGATTTTCTTAAACATTATCGTATACAAAGTAGACATACCCAATGTTAGTGCCTGGCGGAGAACAGACAAAAGACCTTTCATAAACGGAAGCAGCCAATGCAGCAGCTTTAAGCCTCGCCTGGTCTGGGCTTAAGTGAACATCTTCTGAGCCTTGCGGAGATGTGCTTGCCGGTGTGGATCCTGCTCAAATCAAAACAAGCTACATAAGCCAACAGATTTTCAGCAAAGCATCATGATAAATTTCCAAGGATCCTATGAATCAGGCACCCAAATAACACATCTAATCATCTTAACCCCATTCTCATGTAGGAACCACCGAATGGTTAAGAGCATGTGCAAGTGCTCAAAGTGATATGTTTGGCAAATGACATTTTGGCTTATAAGCAACCAAAAGATAAGCTTGGGGGGTTTCTTAGCTTATTTTTTGGTGGATTACTAGCCACAAGGTTTGACCTGTCAAGTAGACCCGTCACATTTGACAAATTCCAAGCCACTCTCTAGCCTCATTAAATGCTTTTTTGTTACTTTAACAATAATGATGCCTTATGAGCCACCTATTTGCCAAACACTCTAATATTGACAATGGATTATAATCCATTAAATTTACCAAATACTTTAACTTATAATCCACTTGGTTATAATCCATTTGTGGATTATAAGTCAAGTGGATTATAGTCCAAAGATGCCAAACATGCTCTAATTTTAATGAAGTTTCTCATAGTTGACATTGATCAAGAAACAGGTTGAAGTACAGTATTCTGAAGGGGAAAAAGAGTAACAGAAGCGACATCCAGATATAATGTGCATCTATCAAGAATCAAGCTGTTAAACATAAGCCACATGTCTTTGCTTGATTTAAGTAAAGATCCAGGAAGCTTGAGAAAGGACGATTTCATAAGTTTTAGGAGACGGTTTTCCTCTATGCTGAGGTTCAAAAGTAATCACCTAAATAATTTTACTTGATATGGAACTAAATTTAAGACATGTCATGACATTAGGAATATTCTCTTTTATGATTATGCCCAAACAATAACAGTGATTTGTTAATTCAAAAAATCAACATCAAAATTCATTAGACTAGAAACTGGAACTTTCAGAACAAATTGACTTCTAAGATTGCAATAAATTAACAATCAACGACATTCAACAGGTATGCTTATGACAATATTATGGCGACTACATATGGTTCAACAGACTTTGCAGATTTGACTTTGGCCCTTCTTTTTTGTTGCATTACACAGCTCTCTTGTAGCTTTGCTTCCCCCCGCCTTGGTGGCAGTAGTTATAGCGAGTCTCGCTTTAATAATTAATACTCTTTATCAATGTTTTAAGTGTTGAAGTAAAACATTTCTCTCCCCCCTTGATTCATCTCTCCCCCCTTGATTCATGGTCAACTCTTTTAATTGTAAATGAAATTTACAACCAAATGATTCCAGCAATACAGTAGTTAGCAAAAAGAATAAACATAAGCAAACATAAGCTCCCATTACTATTAATCACTAACTAGAGTGTCTAAATGAAGACCATATTTCAGACATATAAGATCACAACTACAATGTAGAACTTGAATCTTAAAGAAAATGTTTCAACAATGTTGCTTCCATGAAATTATACTGCAGTTTAACAAATGCATACAAAGAGGAATTATAAAAGAAATTTCAGAAACCAAAATCTGAAAAACTTACTGGCTTGTTGTCCAGATGCAGCTGATCCATTTTCAGGAGGAATAACTAAAGCTCTGCAAGTTGGGCAAATATTCTGTCGTTCTAACCATGATCGCAAACAATGCACATGAAAAAGGTGCCCACAATGCAACTTTTTGGCTGTTAACATCTCTTCACGGCAAATAATGCACGTTGCATCACTTCTGCAGTACAAAGTTTGCAATAATGCTCATGTTAGTCAAGGAAAAACACCAGGAGAGGGGGAAAAAGATTCTTACGCATTAATCTCCTCAGGTGTTGCACTCGGGAACCGCTCATCCACATTTGATGTAACCTTCCGGTAACGAATGTAATCCGCAATGCGGATTCTGAAGCTGCGAAATGTCTCATAGAGTTCTCGGATCAAGTGCAGCGGCAAACCATAGTGCCTGAATCAGAAACCAAAACCCCCATAATGTAAATTTAATATGTCCTCAAACTATCAGACTGATGCTGATAGTACCTCAATTGGAAAAAAGAAAATAATGACATGATGAGTAAATAGAACATACAACGGAAAATTTTGGTAGAAGAGCAAGTTTTGTGAGATATTTATTTGAGCAGGAATTCAAAACCTTGCACAAGGTAATTAATCTCAGGAATTCAAAACCTAGCACAAGGTTATTAATATCACTATCAAAATTCAAGATGCACATAGTATATACCTAAGGCTTTTTCTTTTCTTTCTCCTTCTGTCTTGTGAATTCCATGTCATAGTAATTGCACTGAACACAGGAATTCAAAGATCTGCTGTAGTTATCCATTCATGGAAGACCAGCCTGACTGGCGTAACCCCAAAATAGATTTATCTAACATTTTATATAGCCAACCACTCTAGTAGCCGCTAGAACTGTTCAAGGTTTATTGTAGGTAACAATGCCAGTAAACAGTTTCATCAGTTACAGCAGCTTCATGTAGCTGACTTGTTTGAACCCCCCACAACCCCCAACCCCAACACGCACGCACAACAAAAACAGAAAAGAAAAATAGGAAGACAAACACACAACATCCTTCCCCCAAGTAAAACATAATACTCTAAAACATAAAGGCCATTTATGCGTCGAATGTGGTAGAAAGCAAACGCTAATCATTTTCAGATGATGAACCTCACTTGTGGGTAAAGCATGAAAGTCAAATCAGTCTGTTGCAGCTACTCAGCTGACATCTATCATGACCATTCTTATGTATACATCGAAAGGTATGCATGTTTGTGCTTATCAAATCGTCAAGGTAAGTTTTTGATCATTAACATTAAAAATAAAACACACTACATAGGCACATGACCAGGCACTTAGGCACAAGCATGCATACACTTAAAGTAATAGATCAGTCCTCTCACCAACATCCCCACCCACCCCGCTTCAGAACAAAGATGCATTCGCTAACAAGAAATTATAACTGTGTTCATATATTTGGAGCTAAAATCTATCTTCTCTGAAAAAATTTCAAAATTTATGTAAATCTAATTCCAAACAAATCTTAAAAAATATTCAAAGCTATCTATATCCATTTATAACCCAAATTTAAAATCCTCAATCAAGTTTCCTCTTATTTTTCCGAGATAAATATATGTCAATTATCACAGTAAAGAATCACATCCTAGGAAGTTCTAACATTTAACTGGTAACTAAAAAAGCTAATTTCTAGGTAATTTACTTTTCAAAATTCAATGTCACAGAAGGCGCTTGGCGGATTGAGACACTGCCTAGACGCCTAGGCGTTTGGCTATTTTTTGAATTATATAATAATAATAATAATTGACAAAAATATGTATTAAATTCATATAAAATTGGAAAAAAACATAGATAGCAATCTTAGATCCACAATAAACAATGCACAATTAAATACTATATAGCCAAAATAGTAACTGACAACATTACAGAAAGCGTTGCACAGCCTAAGCATTGAACCTGATGCCTAGACCCTAGGCAGTTTTCGCATTTTTTATTTTTTACTTAAAATAATTTAAAGTAAACGTCAATGTTATAGAAAGCTTAGGTGTCGGACTAGTGTCTAGGCGGATTCTTTTCTTCATTAAAGTGGTGGTCAAGGAGGTTTTGCTAAAGGTCAAAGAAGGTAGTGCAAGTATTTATATTTGGATGTTAGAGAAATTTGGAGGAGGTTGGAGGATGTGGAGGCTACAACACAGAAAATCATGATTAATGCCTAAAAGGTGCAGTCCACCTCAGCAGACAACGCTCCCAAAACCTAGGTGGTTGCCTAGGTACTGCCTAGGCGCTAGGCAGGCGGCCTAGGTACCACCTAGGCGGACTAGGCAAAGGCTTTTTAAAATAGTGTCAAAATTTTACCATGTGGACAATAGCTCATGTTAGAGTTAAGCAAAATCTAACTTATCGAATACCAATTCTCACACTCATGTAAAAAAGTAAAGAAAAACATGTCTACAGGCAAAAAAAAAAGGGTTCATGACTTCAAGCAAATGGAAAACATATGTTGTTCAAGTAAAACTCCAACCATAAATGTTAAGGTGAAGAGAATTGAGAGATAGCAAATATCAGCATTTGCATTTTAGTATCTCAAAAAAGTAGACAAAATAGAAGAACAAAAGGAAAATCCTGGCTAACTGGACAATAACTTAATTACTCATTTTCTATTGTTCCTCCATATCAACCATTACCTTTCATATAACTAACAATGAAAAATACAACATTCCACCATATAAAATGACAAAGGTGATGAATAGTACTTACGCGAAGATCACAAGAAAGAAAAGGATATACAATGACAAGTTAACAAGGTCGCGGACAAGTTCCAAGTAAAATGTAAACACAGCCTTCTTCTCCCACTGCCCTTCCATGATCACGTCACAAACGTAGAAAGCATACTTCAATAATGTTGACATCGTTGTTGACGCTAATATGGTGTATCTGGACCAAAAAAACATGGTTACAAATGCAAATTGCATACGATAAAACAACAAACCCCTAAGATTATAAACAAGACTATTCCCAGTAAAAACTATATCAGCAAATGATATAGTACAATAGGTACTTTACAAATATATGCTTTCTTCAAGTAGCCAAAATTATGATGCTTCAGAACTAAGGTATAAAGACTTTTATGTATAAGTTCAAACATAAAATATTGGTTATCCTTATACTTAGGAAGCTGCAAAACGTAAACTGTTTTTCATCATATATTTTAAAAGAAAATGCTCATTGTACCACTTTTTGGGTACTAATAACTCTAAGAGAATGACAAAAGAGACTTGACACACTGACCCCCACCCCCACAACAAAAGACAAAAAAAAAATCCTTTCATCAATAAGATAGTAGAGGGGTGATGTCATTCTCTTCAGTACCCAAGTAGCGCCAAGAGGTAAAGTACAATAAGCATTACTGATTTTAAATTTCCCTCAATGTTTCACTGTCCATGTAAACCCAAGTTTACAAGAACCATGAGGCCCAATCAATTCTTTTATAACAAGGAATCAAGCTACAAGCATAAGAGTAATCAAACAATTATGATAGCCCTAAATGAAACAATCACAACTACATATAATGAATATTGCATTATTGTATTAGCTTACTCAAATAAAAAGAAGAGGGCAACTGATGCCTTCTTTGTCTGTATAAATGACTTCAGAGGCCTGTGCAATAGAACACAATCCACAACGAGAAGAAATACCAAAAAGGAAGCAATCCTGACATGGGAAAGTAAAGAAACCGATGGAGCCGTCTCAATGTGGTCAACCCTCTTTTGCGCCAGCCAATGCAAGGATTTAATCATCAAAAGTGTGGTAATCATCCCAAGAGTAGTAACGGAGAAATCTTGCCTAAATATAGTAATAGCAAAAAGAATTTCCATAATCTCCCTCCATACTTGTTCATTTAATCTTTCGATTTCTGCTTCTCTAAGAGTACCAAGAAACAAAAGCTTAACTAGCTGCCACAGTATGCACATGAAGACGAGGACCATGTTCAAAAGAAGCACAAAACAGACTTTTGAAGTGGACAAATAAACCATGGCAGGATAGAACTGTCCTCTGCTGTTAAATGCATGATATATAACAGTAATCACCGCCAAGAAACTAAATCCAGCATAAGTTTGCAGCCTCAACATTTCAGCAAGACCTGTTACAATAGTATGGAAATAGAGATTAGATTGAATTTCTAAAGACATCTGCAAAATCAAATTGATGAATTTAATTTAAACCAACATCAAAATAAATAAGATAACAACTTAACCATATTTTTGAACAGCTTGATGAAACAATACCGCTAACTTATCTACTCTATCATTTGGAAACTCCGAGCACAATGCTGCAGCCCCAAGGTCCATAAATATAAAGATTAAAGAATATAAGTCCCTTATGTGCAATACCTTTTTATATATTAGCGCCCTGAGGGGAAATTTTTATTTTAATCACCAGTTGGAAGTGTGGATGCTCATTCACTCAAACAGAGACATGGCTTTTCTGTATAGAACTTTAATACAGTTAGGGGTGGTAGCACACACACCCTTACTTTTATATAACTATACCTTTATCCTTTAGTAAATATGTAATTTATGTATATCACCTTGTACTTCCACCTTTATCCGCAATCATCTCCTTTTGTCAGTAAATAAGTAAACTGCAACTAATGGTGATAAGAGAATAACATACTCTTTCTTTCACAAGAACAAGATGAGCCTTGTTGAATATTAATCTAGCTTCAGCAATTTGAGCAAGACTATGATAATCTAAAAATTACTGCAAAATCCACTATTTTGTCTTGTTTAGCTATTGCTTCAATCCAGTCACCTATTGCAGCACCAAAATTCCTAACTCCCCCAAATCCCAATCCATTTTGAATTAGCTACAAAAAACAGACTCCTTCTTTGATGTCTCCTGTACCTAATCCATCTTTAGCATCACTGAGATCAATCTTTCCATCAGTTCAACCTAAGTCGATAGGCATTTCAATTTCGCACCGTCAAAGAAAGGAACCTTTTCTATCTGAGAACTCCTTGTTCATGTAGTAGGTGAACAAATTCCTCGTTCTTAACAGATGAATTGTCAGAACCTAGAATAAAATAACCAGAATAAATGATCTCTTCAAATGGGGACACGAAGTCTAAGAGGAAGTCTTAATCATGCACTTGACTGCATCTTTCGTTTACAAAGGGAGATAATCTTAGTTTGGAGAGAAAAGAGAGGGAGGAAGGGAGGGAGGAAGGGAGAATGGCCAAGAAGAGGGATGCCTGCAAATGTCATGATATTTGGATTCCAGGGTAGCAATTCATTGACTGCTCTTAAATTTTTTCATGGGTTGCATTAAAGTAGGTTGATTGGACATGAACAGAGGAGGAAGACTAGAAGCCAGACCAATTACTAATTAAAGGGACGGTTTGATTTTGTTTTTCAAATTCAAATAGGTAACTAATGAAATTGTCAAAGAGATGGATGAATATACATCTTCCCTAAGCACGTTCAGACTAGAGAAGGTTACTAAATGAAGCACAACATAGAAAAGGTACTCCATTAGAAAATCATCCCATCCCCTTGGCTCATCTCTAAAGCGATAAGGATGAGAGCTTTGCCCTCTTTGTTATTTTCAAATTTGTCATCTGTGTCAGCATGATTTCGGCAAGGTCCAGTCCAATGGATCAGACCTAGATTGCAAATCGGAAAGCTCAAAATTTTAAGCCTCTGCCTACGCATCTTGCAGCCTAGCTGATTAGCTTCAGTCAACCGCTTCTTTTATTTCAATCCAACACATCTACAACATTGGTCTCCAACAGTGTGTATGCCAACATGCCTAATATTTCACACGTTTGAAATGAACTCCTCTTGATGAATAACCTTCAATTGTTGGATTTAATCTAATAAATCTATTTGTGGGCACATATGATTAATCAATGTGTATTGCTATCTTTCAGGATAACCCACTAAAGTGATCAATTAAGTTGGGTTAATTTGGTATTTAAATAAGTCATGGGGTTATATGTGCAGATACCAGGTTGTAATTGTAATTTATTGAGGGGCTAAATTACAAAAGTACAACATCTATAAATAAGGGGTTATGGTCCCTAATCTAGGGTTACATTCTCTAATTCTCTACACCTCCATCTAGCTAGAGAAATTCGGTTTTAGAGAGAACCCTAAGGTTAGAAGATCCAAAACCCAAAATCAAGATCAAGCAATGGATTCAGGTATAAGCTTCCGCTCTTTTAGATCCTTGTTAATCTCTTTGAATTAATCATGGCTATATGGTTTTAGATCTCAAGTTTTATGATGTAGATCTAACAAGTGGTATCAGAGCCACCTTGATTAATTCTTAGGGATTTAAGTTTTATTGGGTTTTTGATCTTAAATCTCTGGTTAAAGATTCAATTTTTGGGTTCGGATGAACAGTAACGAAAATTTTCGGATGAACAGTAAAGTTTTTTCGGATGAACAGTAAAGTTTTTTCGGATGAACAGTAACTGAAAAAATCGCCGGTGGACAGTAACTTTTTGGAATTTTTTGGATTTTCCTTTGATTTTTTCTTCAATTTTTCTTGGATCTGGATCAAAAATTTTTTTTCCGATTCTGGATCTGGTTTTGAAAATAAAAAAATCAAGGAATTTTTTGGGTTTGGCGGCGGCGGTTTCAGTTTGAAACCCTAAGGGTTCATGGCGGTTCTTAAGGTGAGCCTCACGCTCAGAATTAAGGTGAGCCTCGCGCTCAACTTTAACGAACCTCGCGTTCGTTCTTAAGGTGAGCCTCACGCTCAGAATTAAGGTGAGCCTCGCGCTCAAGTTTAACGAACCTCGCGTTCGTTCTTAAGGTGAGCCTCGCGCTCAAATTTTGATGAACCTCGCGTTCGTTCTAAAGTGAACCTCGCGTTCAACTCAGGTGAGCGTCAAGCTCAATTTTGACGAACCTCGCGTTCGTACTTCAGACGAACCTCGCGTTCGAGCTTCAGACGAACCTCGCGTTCGTGCTTCAGTCGAGCCTCGCGTTCGAACTTCAGACGAACCTCGCGTTCGTACTTCAGACGAACCTCGCGTTCGTACTTCAGTCGAACCTCGCGTTCATTTTTTAAAACGAACCTCGCGTTCGTTCCCAAGATTGAACCTCGCGTTCTTTTATCAAACGAACCTCGCGTTCGTTCATTTTCAGACGAACCTCACGTTCGTGCTTAAGTGAGTCTCGTACTCAATACAGTCGAACCTCGCGTTCGAAGTTAAGGGAACTTCGTGTTCATTATGGTTAAGCCTCGGCTTTTCATGGGTCCACTTTGGTATACTTAATTTATTCAATTAAGTTATGGGCCCTAGTCAAGCTGTGAGACCCCAATTAAGTTTTTGAAAATTCAGTTGATTTAAATTTTTAATTTAAATCTAATTCGGTTTTTAATCAATTTTTTAATTCAAATATTATGACACTAAGGTATTAAGGTTGTCTCTCACTCCAATTGATTAATTGAAGCAAGAAGTTGCCAAAGTAACCTCTCTTGTGTAGATTGTTCATGAGGAATGTGAGATGTTTGTGTGTATGCTTTCGTGTAAATATTTAATCGGCCCAAAGGAAGGTTAATATTTATTTAGACTGTATACACATCTGCGATGATAAGCGTGTGACAATTATAAGGTTTACATGTGAATAATGAATCGATCCAAAGATAGTTTCATTATTTGACATGAGTTATTGTCAATGTTTGATCATTGCAACAAGGTATCACTTACAAGTTAATATTACTGTCCAAAGACTTGATATTAATGTTGTGCCGGTATCTTGGATGGGGATTGTCATTATTTGAATTTTATTGATTATGGTTATTGATGTGAGCATTTTTGTTTTATTTCAGCTAATGCATCTGCTGCAACAATTTCTGCTAACATCAACTCAATTCCCATGCTAAATGGGACAAACTTCAAGGTTTGGAAAGAGAACATATTAATTGTTCTTGGCTGCATGGATCTTGACTATGCATTAAGAACTGAACAACCCCAACCTCTCAATGCGGATAGCACTCCTGATGCAAAGAAGGAGCATGAGAAGTGGGAGCGTTCAAATCGCATGAGTCTTATGATCATTAAGCGCGGCGTTCCGGAAGCCTTCAGGGGCATAGAATCCGAAGGGATTACTAAGGCTAAAGATTTCCTTGCCGAAATTGAGAAGCGTTTTGCGAAAAACGATAAGGTAGAAACAAGCACGCTTTTAGCTCGCTTGATTTCAATGAAGTATAAGGGCAAAGGAAATATCAGGGAGTACATTATGGAAATGTCTCATATTGCTTCAAAGCTTAAGGCACTTAAACTCGATCTTTGTGACGAGTTATTAGTGCATCTGGTTTTGTTGTCTCTTCCTGCACAGTTTAACCAATTTAAGGTCAGTTATAACTGTCAAAAGGAGAAATGGACTCTAAATGAGCTCATTTCATACTGTGTGCAAGAAGAAGACAGGTTGAAGCAAGATAAGACAGAAAGTGCTCATTTGGCCTATGCCTCTAAGGATAAGGGCAAGAAAAGGAAGAATGATAAGGAAGCTGCTAAGGGTCCAGTTGAGAAGAAACAACATAAGGATAATCAGGGTTGTTTCTTCTGTAAGAAGCCTGGACATGTAAAGAAGGACTGTACAAAATATCACGCCTGGCGTGATAATAAGGGTACGTTCCTTGCTTTGGTCTGTTCTGAGGTTAATTTAGCTTCAGTACCTAGAAACACTTGGTGGTTAGACTCTGGTGCTACTACTCACATAAGTGTTTCTATGCAGGGTTGCCTGAGCTACCGAAAGCCAAGTGATGTTGAAAGACACATCTTTGTGGGCGACGGACAATCGGTAGATGTGGAAGCAATTGGGCACTTTAGGTTGTTGTTAGGAACTGGTTATTATTTGGATTTAAAAGATACTTTTGTAGTACCGTCTTTTAGACGGAATTTGGTTTCTGTTTCTGTATTGGACAAATCAGGTTATTCTTGTTCATTTGGAAACAGTCAATTCAGTTTATCTTTTAATTCAAATGTTGTGGGAACCGGTTACTTGAGTATTTATGACAACCTATATTTGCTTGATACAATTGCTTCTTACAATGAATCCTTGCATGTGGAATCACGTGGTACTAAGCGTAAATTAAATAAGGAAAATTCGGCGACATTATGGCATAAGCGCTTAGGTCATATCTCAAAAGGTAGAGTTGAGCGTCTTGTGTCTGATGGCATTTTGGATTCCCTTGATTTTTCGGACTTCGACGTATGTGTTGAATGTATCAAGGGAAAACAGACCAAAGTGAAGAGATTAGGTGCCAACAGATCTTCGGATGTCTTAGAATTGATACATACGGATATTTGTGGGCCATTCCCTACGGAATCCTGGAATGGTCAACAATATTTTATATCATTCATAGACGATTACTCACGTTATGGGCACCTATATCTTATTCATGAAAAATCTGAGTCTCTGGACATGTTCAAAGCCTATAAAGCTGAAGTTGAGAATCAACTCAACAGAAGAATTAAAACCGTCAGATCTGATCGTGGTGGTGAGTACTACGGTAGATATGATGGTTCAGGTGAACAACGTCCAGGACCATTTGCTAGATACCTAGAGGAATGCGGTATCGTCCCACAGTACACTATGCCGGGTTCACCTAGCATGAATGGTGTAGCTGAAAGACGAAACAGGACTCTTAAGGATATGGTAAGAAGTATGATTGCTCATTCTTCTTTACCAGAGTCACTCTGGGGAGAAGCACTTAAGACAGCAGCTTACATTCTGAATAGAGTACCAAGTAAAGCAGTTGCTAAAACACCTTATGAGCTTTGGACTGGTCGAAAGCCCAGTTTAAAGCATTTACATATTTGGGGATGTCCAGCTGAGGCAAGGCCTTATAGGCCAAATGAAAAGAAATTGGACTCCAAAACAGTTAGCAGCTACTTTATTGGGTACCCTGATCGCTCTAGGGGCTATAAGTTTTATGATCCCACTATAAGGAATATTTTTGAGACGGGAACAGCAACATTCTTTGAGGATGTTGAGTTTGGGGGGAGAAATAAGGTTAGAGACATTAGTTTTGAGGAGGAATTGGCTTCAGATCCAATCCATACAGTTACTTTTGACAATATTCAGGTTCCTATACCTGTTGTTGCTCAAGAAGTAAATCCGGAACCTCAAGATGATAATGTTGAACAACTCCCTGTTCCAGAAGAACAAACTCAACAACCTCAAGAACCAGTGCCATTAAGGAGATCCACGAGAGAAAGGAGAAATGCTATTCCGGATGATTATATTGTATTTCTCCAAGAACATGAGGAAAGTAGTGGAATGTTAGAAGATGATCCAATCAACTTCTCTCAGGCCATGAAAAGTTCTAACTCTCAACAGTGGATTGATGCCATGAATGAAGAGTATAAGTCTATGCAAGACAATAAGGTTTGGGAACTTGTCCCATTGCCAGAAGGTGCAAAACCAATTGGTTGTAAATGGATTTTTAAAACCAAGCGGGATGCAAACGGTAATGTGGAGAGGTATAAGGCGCGTCTTGTGGCTAAAGGCTATACTCAAAAGGAAGGCATTGATTATACAGAGACTTTCTCTCCGGTTTCATCGAAAGACTCTTTCAGAATAATCATGGCACTTGTTGCTCATTATGATCTTGAGTTACATCAGATGGATGTTAAGACTGCATTTCTCAATGGAGACATTGATGAGATGATTTATATGGTGCAACCAGAAAACTTTGTGTCAGGAGACCCAAAGAATATGGTTTGCAAATTAAGGAAATCCATCTATGGACTCAAGCAAGCTCCTCGTCAATGGTATCATAAGTTTCAACAAATAGTTATCTCGTTCGGTTTTGAGATGAACATTGTTGATGACTGTGTATATCACAAGTTCAGTGGGAGTAAGTATATTTTTCTGGTTCTGTATGTGGATGACATCTTGCTTGCCACTAATGATATAGGCATGTTGCACGAAACCAAGAGATTTCTATCAAAGAATTTTGAGATGAAAGATCTTGGGGACGCCTCTTTTATATTAGGGATCCAGATACATCGAGATCGCTCTCGGGGTATTCTTGGATTATCACAAAAGAGCTATATCGATAAGGTACTTAAAAGGTTTGGCATGCAAGATTGCAGACCAGGTGACACCCCTGTTGCTAAAGGAGACAAGTTTAGTCTCAATCAGTGCCCTAAAGGTAACCTTGAAATTCAGGAAATGCAGAAGATTCCTTATGCTTCGGCTGTAGGAAGTCTAATGTATGCTCAGGTATGTACGCGTCCGGATATTGCGTACATTGTTGGGATGTTAGGCAGATACTTAAGCAACCCTGGTATGGATCATTGGATAGCAGTCAAAAGGGTTATGAGGTATCTTCAGAAAACAAAAGATTACATGCTCACATACAGAAAATCAGAGAAATTAGAGGTCATTGGGTATTCGGACTCTGATTTTGCTGGATGCCAAGATAGCAGGAAGTCTACATCAGGCTACATTTATATGTTAGCAGGAGGAGCTATATCATGGAAAAGTGTCAAACAAACACTAGTAGCTTCCTCCACTATGGCAGCAGAATTTGTAGCTTGCTATGAGGCATCCAATCAGGGAATATGGCTGCGAAATTTTGTCACGGGACTGCGCATTTTGGAAAATGTTGAAAGACCACTAAGGCTATATTGTGACAATAAATCTGCAGTAATGTATTCCAATAACAACAGGAGCTCAACTAAGTCAAAACATATTGACATTAAGTTCCTGGTTGTGAAAGAAAGGGTACAGAGTGGACAGATATCCATAGAGCACATTGGGACAAACTCCATGATAGCTGATCCTCTTACTAAGGGATTGCCACCTAAGGTCTTTCATGAGCATACTGCTCATATGGGTGTGGTATTATTTGAGGATATTATGTTTTAGTGGGAGTTTGTATTTGTGGTGCTTTATGTTTGTTTGTATTGTCTGATCAGAATAAAGTTTTCAGTTAAGACACTCTGTTACATTATGTTTGGTTTTGACCTCACTAAGGAGGACCAGTTGAAAATAGACATGTACTGATCACATTGCATGTAATTTTCATGCTGCACATCCATGATTGATCTATGTCGTTTGATTGTATTGGTATATGTGACCATTGATGGGTCGAGTCACGATAAATGTGACGAAGGCCGCTTTGATCCTATATTGATATAGTCAATGGACGAGATTGTTCGGAAATACCATTTCAGTGATAGCAATTTTTGAGCTCATAAGGTTATACACAGTTTAAGGAATCATATGGTGCCCAAGTGGGAGATTGTTGGATTTAATCTAATAAATCTATTTGTGGGCACATATGATTAATCAATGTGTATTGCTATCTTTCAGGATAACCCACTAAAGTGATCAATTAAGTTGGGTTAATTTGGTATTTAAATAAGTCATGGGGTTATATGTGCAGATACCAGGTTGTAATTGTAATTTATTGAGGGGCTAAATTACAAAAGTACAACATCTATAAATAAGGGGTTATGGTCCCTAATCTAGGGTTACATTCTCTAATTCTCTACACCCCCATCTAGCTAGAGAAATTCGGTTTTAGAGAGAACCCTAAGGTTAGAAGATCCAAAACCCAAAATCAAGATCAAGCAATGGATTCAGGTATAAGCTTCCGCTCTTTTAGATCCTTGTTAATCTCTTTGAATTAATCATGGCTATATGGTTTTAGATCTCAAGTTTTATGATGTAGATCTAACATCAATTCCCTACTTTACATATAAAACTCACTAGTGCTAACTACATTATTGTGAGCTTATATTTTTCGAAGAATGCCATCAACCATGTTCATATATATTTTTGAGGCCCTTTTACACCCCAATTCTTGAATAAAGAACCTTCGAACAAGAATGCTTCAAACCTTAATGCGAAATGACTTCAAATTTCAACTGGGATTTTTTCACAAAGCTACATCTCAGTTCTAATATTGAAAATAACGAAGCTTCAGTTTCCAAGATTCAACAGGCTCTCTACCGCTTGTAGGAATTTTTGAGGAGACGGTGAAAAAGCAAAATTAAACAAGTTCAACAGAATGGAAATCGTAAGGACATGAAAAAATCTAGAAACATCGAAGTAACTGAGGGTCGTTGATGCGATTCGAGAATTAGGGTTAGAAATTCTACCTCTTTTACTGAGGATCTGATTAGGGTTCCGTCGGGTCGAGCGAAGGAGCCAGAGTGCTGAGGTGAAGAGAGAGAAAATGAATTTTGTTTTAAGTAATAAAAAAAAGATAAGAAATTGAATATAGCCACGTGGGATTCGATTGTGCGTCTGGGCCGTCCGGTTCGATCAGGCCGGCTAGGTTTGATAACTCAATTTAATTAAATCTACACTAGATTGATTAAGATTACTAATTATTGTGGAGCACAAAATGAAGCATAGTATAATCTTCTATTAATTGCGGATATGGATACGGATACATTTTGGTAAGAAAAAACTCATCCATATTCTTTTTTATTTGAATATGAGCATATTGAAAAACATAAAAATATAATGTCGGATGTATGAGAGAAACAAGTGAGATTGAAAGATTATACATGCACTATGATTAAATATTTGTTCCGATAAAGAAAAAAATAAAGTCAATGTTGATTTATATGCTTGATTAGAATTTTTTTAATCATAAAAAATAGTCATAGACCTACTAATTTAAGATCAAATAGCTTCAATCATTTGATTGTAAATATATATTCAGGTATTCAGATATAAATATATTGATATCATATTCTTCATTTTATCCTATGTGATATTTATATTTGAGATCCATATGTGTATCACTTAGTTTATTGCTAATCATTATTAAAGAGAAAATTTCATATGGAAGAATGAAGATAAAGAAAATCATGTCGAAGAGAAGAAGAAAATGAAATATATTTTATCATGTAATTCTGATGGTTGCATTAATGCAATATTATGATTACATCTATACAATTCATAAAAATTATTAATACTTTAATTATCTGTATTTGTACCAATCTAAAAATAATAGTTGTTTTTTATTTTTTTTATAAGGAAAAATTGCTTCTAGCCCTCAAAACAATAAATTTTATTCATCTCACCCCCAAGATTTTTTCAACACCTCAAAAAACCCCTCAATCAACTTTGTAATGCTTCTAACTCCTAATTTTGTTGTCACCTAAGCAAATATTTTTATTCCCCACTTTACCCTTAATTATAGCCCATGTGGACTACTCTCTCGCTCTCTCTCTCTCTCTCGTCATCATCTCCCTCCTCTCTTCTCTTTTCTCTCTCCCCACTCCATAGCCCTTACCAACTACTTCTCATCCTTTCTTCTCTTTTTTTCTATTGCCGCTGCACAGCCTCCTGCACCATCATCATTCCCTCCCCTATGGCCCTAAACAAGCTCAACGTCTCTCATCCGCTTCGGCTCTCATTTTCGATCGGCGACGGTGGAGCTCGCTCCTCCATCGAACCTCCCATGGTTTCCTGCACATCACCCTCTCTTCCCCAAATGATGACCTCCCTTTTGATATCAAAGCCTTGACATCATCAAAAGATCAAATGCAAAAGGGAGACGAGCACCAATATTTATAAGTGTAGATCAACTGTTTGATAAAATGCATGTGAGAAACAAACCCATTACATATAACTCTCTAAGTGAGGGCTAAGCAGTTAGAGGAGAAGAATATGTGGGTTGTGATTGCGTGGACCTTGGAGGTGAGGTGGTGGGACCTAGATTGGGCCCAGTGGAGGAGGGGTGACGACGAGGTTAGGGTTGAAGACTACTGTAAATTAAAGGAGGAAGAAGAAGAATATGACGGTGGGCTGCTAGTATTGATCATTGACCCTCTATTTGGTTTCGGAATCAAGGCCGTCTTTTTTCTTAAAGCAATCAACCATTGTTTCGCCTCACAACATATGGACACACAAACAAACATATGAGAATTGATAAACGCATAACGTGTTAGCCTGTTAGGTCAAATTGTAGATTTAACAACTTTTTCTTCACAAATTATCTGCAAACAATAAGCACTAGACAATCAATCCCTCGACCGCCGAGCTCGACCTTCGAGCGTTCTAAAATGTATTTCATGATTTTTGAGTAAAGGAATGTCAGTGAAATGTTATAAAATGTAATTTATGATTTTTGAGCAAATGAATATATTTTTTTAGCTATTTCCTCTATTCCCCTTCCTCTTTCCATTGCTAGATGAAAAATCTTAACAACAAACACATAAGCTTAACAACCAACATATAAGCTTAACAACTAACGAAAAAGCTTAACAACTAATGCATAAGCTTTAAAACTAACAAAAAAGATTAACAACCAACTCATAAGTCTAATAACTAACGAAAAAGCTTATCAATCAACACATAAGCTTAACAACCAATGAAGATTAACCAATGAATAAGCTTAACAACCAACATAAGCTTAATAACCGGCGAAAAAATCTTAACAACCAAGGTATAAGCTTAACAACGGATTAAAAAATTAACAACCAACACATAAGCTTAACAACTAACAAAAAAACTTAACCAACACATAACCTTAACAACCAATGCATAAGCTTAACAACTGATAAAAAAAGCTTAACAACAAACACAAAAACTTAACAACCATCGTATAAGCTTAACAACTCACGAAAAAACTTAACAACTAATACATAAGCTTAATAATTAACAAAAAAATATTAACAATTAATATATAAGTTTAACAACTAACGAAAAAGCTTAACTAATGCATAAGTTTAACAACCAATGCATAAGCTCAACAATTGACGAAAAATCTTAACAACAAATGCATAAGCTTAACATCCATAGTAACTGATAAAAAAGCTAAATAAATACATATAAGCTTAACAATCAATGCATAAGCTTACCAACTAGAAAAAAGCTTAACAACAAATACATATGTTTAACAACCAATGTATAAACTTAATAATTAATAAAAAACTTAACAACAAATAAATAAGCTTAGCAACCAAGGAATAAGCTTAACAACTAATGAAAAAGTTTGATAACAAACGCAAAACCTTAACAACTAACTCATAAGATCAACAACTAACTTATCAGATTAACAACTAAACCATAAGGCTAACAACTAATTTACAAAATTAATAGCTCCTTTTTTAACTTTGAATGTTCGACCAAAATACTTCAAAACATAAAAACTCATGGACATCAAAAACTAGATAGCAATAGAAAAAGGAGGATGAACAAAGGAAATAGCTGGAAATATTCATTTACTCAAAAATAAAAAAAAATGCATTACATAACATTCCACTAACATATTTCACAACCACCCATTGTTTAATGGAAGCTTATATTGGATTACAAAGTTAAGAGGACTGTAGCCTAAACTTATAATTCTATATTTGAAGCTATTCTTTGTTCAAATTACCATTAATTTCTGGTGAACTTCATCGAAATCAGGCTAAACCTCTACTAACTACTCAAATATCTTCTTTGAATCATCCCAATTCACATAAATAGCACAAATCTCATCATTTTTGGGAAAATATTAATCAAAGAACATAGACATGAATACAAATCTTAGGAATCCACCACGGCCAACAAAGAGAAAGAAGAAACTATTGTCGCGTGTGGCTAAATCTAGAATTCACATAAATAGCAGTATAATACAATGGTGTGCACCAACCAAGTACTATTAAGATCTCCTCCATCTATAAGATATTTCGGTCAAGCCAACGATCTCCTCGATCTGTTAAAACCTTTAGATTCAAAACCTTTCGGGTCAGGCAAAGATCTTTCGATCTGTAAAAAACCTTTCGGTCCAGGCCTATGTTCCTTCGGGCACAGACTAAAGCCTATACGCTTTTAAACTCTGCAGCAGCAGCAGCACAACAGCTCAACAGGTACAACACTTCAGTGTGTGTTTTCATATCCCAAGAACTGCTCCAAGGGGCACTATTTAGAGGTCTCTAAGGCTAGCTCAAGGATCACCCACAATCAATTTGACTGTTACAAATCATAATGACAATTATGATTATAATAAAAAATAACTTAATTATTGTAATTGCGGCATGCAGTAACATCTGAATGTAAGGATCGCGTCGCGTCTCGATAATGTGAGGGTCGCGTTCCCACTCACAAACGCGAGGGTCGTACCCTTGCATGAAGGCGAGGGTCACATTCCCTCTCACGAATACGAGGGTCGCACCCTCGCACGAACGCGAGGGTCACCTGTGAACGTGAAGCTCGCTCGCATGCTGCAAGGCAGCCTACATGGCGGTCACAGTGACAGCCAACTGTAGGCGTAAAAATTTGCCTATATATCCAAACACAGTTCAATACGAAGAGAAGACGAAGAACGTCATCATCTAAGTCAGGGGAGACCATCCGATGTAAAAGGAATCAAAGGAGCACGCAAAATGGCAAATCGACGGGACTCATAGCTGTCTCACAATCGGTGAGACAACATACACCGACTCATGCATCCGAGACAATGTTTACTGTCTCGGAAGCTGACTGTCTCGGATGCTGAGATAGTGTAAGTTGTCTTGCCAATAGCGAGACAGTAGCCCATGTCTTCTAACGGTTTTGTGACTTTTTACGGGGTCCACTTGGCTCTATAACTGCTGGGAAACGTGTATTAATGTTAATGGGCAGTTATATCTGTGAGAGACGCCCACTACCCTAAAAAATGTGGCAATTAACGTAATTTAAGAGAGTGTCAGCAGTTACAAAAAGGGCTGGAACCACTCCCTTGGCCGAGACAGTAAACATTGTCTCACCCAAAGGGGATGAAGATCACCATTTGTTTCAACTCCTACTCGACGGTTTCGGTTTCCAATGGCTATAAATACCTCCCTTGTGCACTTGTGAAGAAAAGGACAAATATCTAAAAGCATAGACGAGCTTTTGGCGAACTTTGAGCACAAAAGAGAGAGTTCTCCACCACTTTCAAGCAATTTCAAGAGCCTTTCAGTGTTTCCTTAATTTCAAACTTAGATTTAATTTTGAGAAGAGTACTTATCTTACTTTGCTAAGATATTTACTTTTGTTCTTGTTTCCACATCGAAACATCAACTTCAAACATTCTTCACGTCCAACTTAGATTATTGAATCGGTGGTCCACAGATTACGTATCCTCGGCACAGGCAAAAATCTCACGCAAGCAGAGGCTACTACGTAGGAGTTTCTGCGTGTGTTTCTAGGGAACATCAATAATTTTGTTTTTATTGTAAAGAGAAATTTTACGCGTATAAGGCTCACTCTTTTGTTTCTGTTAAAACATTTGTAATAGAAACTGCAATGAAAATCGTTCTCGACGCAAACACCAACATGGCGCCACCTAGCCTCGATGCATCCGTGCAAAGTGAAAAGTGCGCCTTACAAAGCGCCACTTAGCACCTCAGCCTGATTAGCCCCGATCCCCGGCCCATTAGCCCATGGTCCTCGACCTACGAGCCCACGAGCCTACGGCCCACGACACACTAGTAATTATGAGGGATTAATTTATTTATTTAAGACAAAACAATTCTCGAACTCAGGACCTTTTGAAATACCAAAATTTTTACTTTCCACTACACTACTAAGGATTTCTAAAAAATATCAATAGTTAATAACTATATAGTTTGAAAACTCATATTTTTGGAAAACGGTTTTGTCCAAAAAATCCAACAGAAACCAAACTCTTCTCATCTCCACGTCCATCAAAGATCTTCTTCCCCAATGTCATTAGCTTCCTTTCTTGCTTCTCTCTCCTCAACTACTCCTTCACCAAATCATGTAATTCCTCAACTTTACACAAAATTTAATCAAATTAATAAAATCATATTTCTTGACTTTCTTGATTTTTTTACAGCTTTGGAGAAGCTCTCAGAATTCCAAGAGCAATGGCGGGAACCTAACACACCACCGCCTAGATCTCTAACCAACTCAGATCTAAGTAGGCCATGGACTCCCTCATTGACCGCAACCTCCAAAATTGACGGGCCCAATTTACTGTCGTCGTCGACGGAGATCCCTTGCTCTCTTGCTCCTGTCATTATGGAATCCACCATTGGGGGAGGAGAGGGTGGTGGTGCAGGAGGCTGTCGGAGGTTCGAGAGAGGGATGAGCTTTGTTATTGGCAATCAGAGATGAGGGTCGGAGCAAAGGAAAAATTTTGAATCGTTTAGGGCTTTTAAATTTTAAGGGAGGAGGAAGGAGGGCGTATTTTGGTTTTTTTTAAGTACATTGACGGGGACATATGTGAGCTAGAGGGGTTTGATTGTTTACAAAATTAATTTTTGGAGGCTTTTGGGATGTTGAAAAAGTCTTGACGGTGGGACAAATAAAATTTATTATTTTGGGGGCTGAAATCAATTTTCCTTGTCTATAAAGCTGCCTTTATCGAGGGGCGCATTTGGCTCTACACTCGCAACTTTTTCAGAAATTTTATAAAAAATATGTACTTTAAAAATTAGAGAAATACCCATATCCTATACTTTGGGGTGTTCTACAAAATATTTAAAATTATCACAATAGCTTTTGGAAAAATTCTGCTATAGGTTTTCTCAAGGAAGAGAGAATAGAAAAAAGCAAGGGAAAAGTAGAGAGAGGCTATTGTTTTATGGTTTCATCACGAGAGGAGTATATTTGTCGGGAAATAGTATTTCAGTAGTGTAGGCGTAAAAAATTGCCTATAGGTTTCCGAACACAGCTTGAAGCGAAGAGAAGATGAAGAACGTCGTTATCTAAGTCAGAGAGTATTGTCTGATACAAAGATGAAGCGACGAAACGAGGAAGCGACGAAACGGCAAGACGCGAACTGCTGTCTCGAATTCTGAGACACCTTAAGGTGTCTCGGATTTCGAGACACCTCAGGGTGTCTCGCACACTAAGAAGCCGACGATGTGTTTTTTAATGTTTTCGTCAGGTTTTATGTGGTCCACTGGCTCCATAACTGACTTGGGAACATCCTTAAACATGGGAAAGTCGTTGCAAATTGAAAATCAACCAAATCATGGTCGGTTACGAATTCTTATCTTCAAACATGACTTTTGAGGCCTATAAATATCCCCTAACATCCTTATGCACGGGGGCTGACGAGATCTGGAGGTACTGATGGTGGAGGCGAGGTGTTGACGTTTTGAGAACAGATACCCACGAATTTCAGAGAGAAATGCGAGATCTTGGCGAACTTCGTGCATAAAGAGGAAGATTTCGAAAGATCTATAGGCCTTCACCCCTTTCCTTGAGATCAAACATCGTTTTGATCTCGGGAAGAGTACTTATCTCACCTCCCCGAGATATTTACTTCTGTTATTATTTCTCAGTTGAAACAAGAACACCGAGCCTTCTTCATGATCAACCCGGATCTGTGAATCGGTCGTCCACGGGCTAACGCGTCCCCGACACAAGCAAATATCCCATGCAAGCAACGACCGATAAACAGTCTCCGTGTGTTTCTAAGAAGTCCTCTGTTTGTTTCTTTTGTAGTGAGAAGTCTTAAAAAAGACTCACTTCATCGAATCTATTATAAGTCGATAAACGATTGTAAATGGATTCTACAATAAAACCGATTTCCGACACAAACAAGTAGCTGTAAAACTATGAAAGTTTAGGGCTTTCTTATGAAATTGTGAACATTTGAGAGGTTATTCTAGGGTTATCTGCATTTCCATATCCTAAATTTTATCTGTTAACTTTAATATTCTAAAGTCTTTCACTTTGATACCCTAAAGTTGACATTTTTTTAACTTTGATTAATATCTCAAAATTTGTACTTTTGTAACTTTAATACCCAAAATTTTTATTGTTTCAAAACTTTAATATCCAAAAATCTAGGGTCTTAAAGTCAAAAAGCTATAAACTATGGGATATCAAAGTTAAAAAATGTAATAGAAGATCAGTGAAGGGGTATTTGGATATCAAAGTTAAATGTGCGGACAAATTTTCAAAACCATCCCATTTTGAAATTTATTTATAAAAAACGACCCCTTTTAGCTTTAATTGCAAAAACCAACCCAGTTTGTTGAAACTGGGTCGGTTTTTGAAAAAAAAATTCCAAACTTCACGGGAGTTGAACTCCCGTGAAGTTTTTTCTCATAACAAAACTTCACGGGAGTTCAACTCCCGTGAAGTTTGAAAAAAAAATTCAAAAACCGACCCAGTTTCAACCAACTGGGTCGGTTTTTGCAATTAAAGCTAAAAGGGGTCGTTTTTTATAAATAAATTTCAAAATGGGATGGTTTTGAAAATTTGTCCTTAAATGTGCACACATATATCAAAGTGTCGGAAAACTTTTTTGGTATCAATGTTAAAAAAAGATGAATGACATGTTATGATGTCAAAATTTTGGGGTCCCAAAGTTATAAATGTGAACTTTAGTGATGTTTGTTTGCATGCAAGGGTGAGATAAAAAGTAAAGAATTGACTTTCTTTTAATATTTTAAGTGGTTGTTTGCTTAAAAATGATTATAAAAATAAAATGTAAGAAAGTTGCATCATAGGATTTGATGTAATTTTGATTTTCCCTTAAAAAAAGTGGTGAAATTACATAAAAGTAACAAAAATGGTAACCAATTTTAATGTAATAATTATAATTATATTTACTAATTAATCTTATTTTGCCACATCATCTTTACATTGCACTTTCAATACAATTTTTTTTCCAAACAAACAATGTATTTCACTAGTATTGTGACATGGATGTGAAAGCTATTTGTAAAAGAAAACAACTTGCACATTTTCAATTCAATTTTCGAACCGCCAAACACCGCCTTAGGGTACCAAACTGTAAATAATTTTAAAAGCTAATGATCGTTTTGTTGCAAATCATCCAAACGTTCAGGGGGGTTTCTGAATTCCAGCTTGCCCCTCATCGATGTACCGTCCAGAGGACAAATTTTCAAACCCAACCTGTTTGCCAAAAAATTCTCAAAAAAAGACCCGTTTCAAACTTAATTTCAAAAACCGACCTAGTTGGACAGAAACTGGGTCGGTTTTAAAAAAAAAATTCCCAAACTTCACGGGAGTTGAAGTCCCGTGAAGTTTTGTTATATAAAAAACTTCACGGCCACATCATCTTTACATTGCACTTTCAATACAATTTTTTTTCCAAACAAACAATGTATTTCACTAGTATTGTGACATGGATGTGAAAGCTATTTGTAAAAGAAAACAACTTGCACATTTTCAATTCAATTTTCGAACCGCCAAACACCGCCTTAGGGTACCAAACTGTAAATAATTTTAAAAGCTAATGATCGTTTTGTTGCAAATCATCCAAACGTTCAGGGGGGTTTCTGAATTCCAGCTTGCCCCTCATCGATGTACCGTCCAGAGGACAAATTTTCAAACCCAACCTGTTTGCCAAAAAATTCTCAAAAAAAGACCCGTTTCAAACTTAATTTCAAAAACCGACCTAGTTGGACAGAAACTGGGTCGGTTTTAAAAAAAAAATTCCCAAACTTCACGGGAGTTGAAGTCCCGTGAAGTTTTGTTATATAAAAAACTTCACGGGACTTTAACTCCCGTGAAGTTTGTGAACTTTTTTTAAAAAACCGACCCAGTTTCAGTCAACTGGGTCTGTTTTTAATTTAAAATTAAGCTTGAAATGAGTCAGTTTTTGGGAATAAAATTCAAAATAGTTCGGTTTTGAAAATTCGTCCGCCGTCCCGATTCCCATCCGAACTTTGTTTACGCTCGACTCACTCGCCACACTGGACTAAACTGAGCCCTACTTTAGAGCTTCAACCATTTTTTCCCAACAAAACCCCAACCAAACCCCAAATGCGATCCAATCACCGCCCGGTCATCCTCCTCCTCCTCTCCCCCCTCCTCTTCTCCCTCACCACCGCCCTCGGCTTCAACTGGGGGACCTCGTCATCCCACCCTCTCCCCCCTTCAAAGGTGGTGACCGGACTCCTGCGAGCCAACAACATCACCAAGGTCAAGCTCGCCGACGCCAATGCCGATGTGCTCGAGAGCTTGTCGGGGACTGGAATCAGCGTGATCGTCGGGGTCCCTAATGAGATGCTCGAAACCCTAAACTCGTCGAAGAAGGCGGCGGAGAGCTGGGTTCATGATAATGTGACCAGATACTTCTCGGGCGGTGGGGTCGGCAGCGGAGTCCGAATCGAGTTAGTTTTCAGCTTGTTTAGTTAATTTCTGGCGTTGTTTTGCTCAAAGTTTTGAGCTTTCTTAGTTCTTTGTTAAGAATGTGACTTGAAGAATCGATTTTGCTTTCTGTTTTAAAATCCCCCCCTTAAATAACACCGTGGCAGCTTTGATAAAATTGCTTTTTTTTTTTTTCAATTTCAGTGGTGAGATTAAAAGTTGAAGTTCTTGGCCTGTTAATTGATGGCGTGGGATTTTTTTTTTTTGGGTTTTTTTTTTCTTTCAAAAGATTGCTCTCCTTTTGGCTTCATTTGAATTTCTAACTGGGGCTCGATTTTGTTTGCATTTGTCTGGTTATTTTATTTTGATATGTTTTGCTTCTTTTTTATCTCTCTCATCTTCTCGTTTGTAATGCAATTCAGATTTTTGTTTTCCTTTAGCCTTTCCTTCATTTTGGTGCTGTAGTGTTCTAACTGCAATCGGTAGTTTTTCCCCTATCCTTAGCTTGTTCAAGACGCAACTATGCGAAATATGTATGCGTTAATGAATGTATGCAAAGTTTGCTAGTAGAGAAGTGAACTGATGTATTATCTTCATTCATGTGAATTTGTGAAGAATTTATAAAATGCCATGGTATGTTATTAAAATTTCTTGTAGTTTCCAAACTGTTGTTGTATCTAGCATGAAGAACTAATTTTCTAGCTAAGAAAAAATTACTATGAGGATCCTAATCTATATCAATAAGTTACGTTTCCCCCTTTAAACTACTCCATGACTTCTTCTTTTATGAATTCTTTTGTGCATTTCACTAATGCATAAGCTTTAAATTAAATGGAACTATGTAGATGAATTTTAATTCTCTAATGAAGGAGAAGTTTTGCCAATATTGTTGTAAATAGAGGGCTATATCTGTTGTTAACTGATTTAGCTTGCCCCTCATGGTCCTGATAAAGAATTATATGAAAGGTTGAATTGGAAATAGTTGAATCACGAAAACTCTTTTTGTATCGGTGATTGCTCCCTTAGTCTGTTTCACAAACAGTCTGGAAAGGAATGAGAACCATATAGACAGATTAGGAGATTTTTGCCCAAAGAAAGGGTCAAATTTCAATTATATGATAGTGAGTTGGTTATAAATCTTCTGTGGGAGGCAGCTTTTCGTGGGAGTTGTAGGGTTAGTTTTCTGGCCCTAGCTAGGTCTCTGATCATTGTGTTGTTTAACTTATTTTTCAGTGGCATGTGAATTTGATGAATTCAACTTTGTTGGAGACACCCAATGAGAGGGAGGTGAGGAGGCAATCATGGATTATATAGAGTCAGTAGAGGAAGTTCACAATTTAATTTAGTATATAACTATTATTTGGGTTGGCTTACTCGCATGTTATGAAGCTCACGTATCGCGACCATGTAGTTAAGCCATTGAAACGTGATAAATACTCAGTGCTCAGTTTGAGTAGCCCCATCTTTTTTATTTTTATTGCAGTGTCGATTCTCTTTTGTTTGCGTGACTTGTCGAAGCATCTTTTCCTCACTCGTATGCGGGAATTCTAGTGCACTGCAGAGCAAATGTAGACGAATTGCGGTGTTAGGATTAGGTCCTAAATTACGACAACAAATACAAGAGAAATATGAGAAGTGCAAAAAGACAGATAAGGATTTATATGGTTTAGTCAAACCAGGCTTATTATACGAAGAGAGGGAGGAGCTTGATACTATTTTCAAGTAGGGGATTACAAAGTCTTTTTTCCCCCATAAGATTTTTCTTAGGACATCCTTGCATAAGTTACAACGAAATAATACAAGATATAAATCCCCAGTACTCATTAGGAGAAACACCATTTAGCATCACTAATTGACCAAAAAAAAAAGAAAGAAAATGAGCGCATAAACCCTAATATAGCATACTTACTGCCAGAACAAAATGTTAGATTGGCCCTCGAGTGCAAAGGCATAAAGGAGCTTGACTGCAAGACCCACCCATCGAGCAGGGACGAAAGTCGGCCTTAGTGATCTGACGGTGCCGAGTGATCTCAAGAAGGCTAATGATATATTAATATGTCACTCTTTTCTGTGGTCGTTGCTGTTTCTTGATTGAATACAACAGACTTCAAGGAGTTAATGATGTGTCCACAAGAAAGGGTGACATGTACTTTCAGTGTGTACTCGCTTGGTTTCTCCTTCTTTTTCTTCTTGTTTTTTTTCTTTCTTCTCTTCTATGGTTTCTATGAATGGTGCTGGTGCCATTTGTCAAGTGACAACAAGAAGACTTTGTTTGTGCATTATACCAGCGCGCTTGCATACACACACTACCTTAAACTATGGTTTAATTAGGTTTTATCTGGTACTTTCTACTTTCTTATGTCGTAATTTCTGTGAGCCGTAAATAATAAAAACTGTACATTGCTTATTTGGTACTTAAAGGAGAAAAAACGAAAAGCATTGTTGTATAAGTTCTGACTTCTCTCCAAAAAACTTTCGATTACTTGGGAGGATGATAACCATACATGGTAATAAAGTGCGGATTAATATCAATAAACGGCAATTTATTTTAAAAATTCAATAAGCTACAAAAACCTGTAGGTTTTTCCCAAAAGAAGCATCATAGCTAGCATCCTTTCTTTTGTGTCTTGTACAGTTACAAAGCACACAAAAAAATTTATCAGAAGTGCACATGCAGGACATAATGAACTGGCTCTTTATTAGATGGAGAAATCTGTAAATGCTGCTCAGCTAGATTTACTATTGGATTACCTTGTGAAATAGAAGCTTGATTGTCACTTATCAAAGACACTAAAAGAAAAGTAATATAGGTTATGATCAGTAGCTATGGACACAAGTGGCACGATCTGCCACCAGGTACAGGGTGCTGGACATGACTATTGTCCAAAAACAAGACCAATGACACAACTATAAATGTATATTTCATGTAAATATTCATATAACCTACTCATACAAATTTATTTGCATATCTTACCCATTCAAATATGTTATATAGTTTATATTTGCAGTCATTCAAAAATAGAACCTGATATTAGCAAAACTATCTGTACAGTAATTAGCACAGATGAAGTGATAAAACTATATTATATGGAGCAAAGAGGACTAGTTACTCTTCAGTCTTAAGAGAACGTGTATTGAAAGCAATTAAGAAGGTTATGAGAGTGGTTAGCTTTATGGATGATGTAGCCCCATGCATAACTGGAACAGAGATGTGTGTAGCCGACCCAACAGAATGGGGATAGAGACTTTGTTTTTGTACATTAATCAGAATGTCAAAAAGAGCACATCATTCTTTTATATTATCAAAGCTAGGTTTGGTGATGCATGAGATGTACACGTGTTTATATGTATTGGGTGGGTGGGGGAGTTGGTGCATTCACTCCACGCTGCCCATTCTATGCACATGGAACGGTCATAGGAAGGGTACATTCCATAGTGTTGAACACTCACAAATGAAGCTAGTTTTCATAACATAGTTATACTGCTGTCGTATAAATTCAAAATCCAACTGTTGATTGGGTTTCAGACCTTGAAGCTGTTTCTTGTATTACAAATTACTACTTAAAGTCAGCTTATTCAGTTCACTGAGAAGAGATTTTTGCAGGTATATTGCAATAGGTGATGAGCCGTTTCTTCTCAGCTACGGGCAGCAGTTTCAGCCCTTTGTAATTGGCGCTGCAATGAACATTCAGCTTGCCCTCATCACAGCCAAATTAACAAACAAGATCAAAGTTATCGTCCCTTGCAGTTTTGATGTGTTCGAATACAACTCCACCAATGTGCTCAACTCCAACTCTACTGTCAACAGCTCTTCTACAATTCCACTCCCTTCAAAGGCTCATTTCAGAAACGATCTCAACAAAACCATTACCGAACTACTCTTTTTCCTTAAAAAGCAAGGTTCTCCCTTCGTTGTTGACTTTAATCCCTTTTCCAGTTTTCAGCAAAGCAAGAACCTCTCCATTGATTACTTCCTTTTTCACCCGAAGGCACGTGCAATCACTGATGGCCATAACAAATATAATAACTTCTTCGATGCAAGCATAGACACTATGGTCACATCTCTATCAAAGACTGGATTCGGTGAAATGGAAATTATAATCGGGAGAATTGGATGGCCAACTGATGGTGCAATTAATGCAACTACTGCCATTGCTGAGAAATTTATGAAAGGTCTCGTTGATCATTTACACAGCAAAGATATAAAGAAGCATCCTCTTGAAACCTACATCTTCAGTCTTTTAGATGAAGACCAACGTAGCATAACCACTGGAAACATCGAGAGACACTGGGGACTCTTCACCTTTGATGGCCAAGCTAAGTACAACGTAGACTTAGGCCAAGGCTCAAAGGAATTAGTTAATGCTCACAATGTGGATTACCTTCCCTCAAAGTGGTGCGTTGTGAACAATAACAAGGATTTATCAAACGTTTCTGCGAGTTTTATGGATGCATGTTCAAATGCTGATTGTACTGCTTTATCACCAGGGGGTTCTTGTGCTGGCGTTGGTTGGCCTGGGAATATTTCATATGCTTTTAATAGTTATTATCAGCAACATGATCAGAGGGGCGATAGTTGTGATTTCGGTGGTTTGGGTTTGATTACTACCGTTGATCCATCGATTGGGAACTGTAGATATGCGATTACTTTACGAACATCTTTCGCACCTGATAAAGATGGGAGATTAGTACGGTGGACTATGGTTTTGAGTGTTAGTACTTTTCTTGCTTTTACTTGGTTTTGACTTCTTGATGTATTCTGAGTTGCATGTTGAGCATATGTTGAAGATCAAAACTATGGCGAGAGATTCTAATTTTGTTGTAATGATCAGAAAGGGATTAACTGGGCTCTTTGTATATTCATTTTCATTGTCTTTATCTTGGACAAGCACATGGTCATTCTTTGATGAAGAGGCAACTGTTGTATAAAGAGCATGAGATGTGTGTAATGTGAGAAATTCTCCAGCTTTAGCCTTATTACTTTCTTATGCTTGGTTAATGTTTAGATTAAAGTTCCTCCCGGGTTGATTGCAGATTGACCCCCCTAGTATCCCTATTTGAACTTACTACCTCTTTAGTTTTATTTTTGTAGATAGGTTCCCGAACTTATTTTCTTTTGACTCTTTTACCCGACAGAAGAAGAGATCATTTTTGATAAATAGGTCCCGTGAATTTCAGAGGGGGATTGTCAAAATTAAGCTGAGCACAATCTGACTTGTTGGATATTATTATTAGTTAAATTTTGTAAAGGCAAATGAAGCACACAATAAACTGGAGTACAAGGATATATAAGTAGCTTTCTTTTATTTCCATTATGTAGATACACAATATAGTATGTTAAGGAGAAATTTTGATTTTTTTGATAATGGGTAATACCCGTGCATCTAAGTCAGAGATTCTTCGCAAGTCACAATTCCATCGACTGATCTGTATTGATCTTATTTACCATGACTTTGCGAGAGAAGAAAAAGGTTTCGTATAGTTTCTAATTAGGCTAACTTGAAAACAAAAGCCTCATTGTCATTTCTTAAATGAAGTTTATTATTATTATTTTAAATTTTTTGCATTGATTTACTATTTGTCTATTTATTTATCCATCTATCCAGGTAGGGAAAATTGTGTTCAGGCCCCAAAAGTGGGAACTTCATGTGACAAGCCCCCTCGTATTTCGGCTCATGTGTATTAGCCCCAAATACGCACAGTATTTGTTATGGGACCCCTAATTACTCTTTTTCAGAAAAACAAAGGCGGAAGTTATGCTCTTGCCCTTCTGATGGGACTGTACTCGGTTAACGCGCCCCATCCTTATTCAAGTACTCTCTCTCTCTCTCTCTCTCTCTCTCTCTCTCTCTCTCTCTCTCTCTCTCTCTCTCTCTCTCTCTCTTCCACCTCTTCGTTGTCTCAGAAACTCGAGATTATGTCCAATTTCTCACCGCCGTTCAACAGTTTTAGGGTTTTCGCCTGAATCATGTCGTCCAGGGAAGGATCATTTTCCGATTTCGAGGTCGACCACCGACGCGTCGAAGGGCCAAGACGTATCATCTGGGCTTGAAAGCGCGGAGGAGGCGACGCAAACCCTAATGGAGATGCAAAAGGAGGCGATAGCACGTCGAGACAACAAAAGACGACCCTCGACGGCCGAGCGTACCATCCAACCCTCCCCCGAAAAACAGTATGTTCTATGTTATCGAGAATCTGGGAAATCGACCTAATTTTGCGTAAATTCAGTTCATCTCAAAAATACCAGTTGTAGATGAGTACACATGATGTAAGTGCTGGATTGATTCCAATGTTAGTTCTAGGTTGATTCAAATGTTAGTTCTAGATGATTCCAATGTTAGTTCTAGATTGATTCCAATGTTAGTTCTAGATGATTCCAATGTTAGTACATTGACTTCAATGTTAGTTCTAGGACGGAGATGTAAATGTAGATTTTGTTAGTTCTAATATTAGTCCGTTAGTTCTATTGATCCTACAAATTCGAATTGTTTTTACAGGGAAAATGTTGCACCTACAGGTGCGGCCGAGTCACGAAGGCTGACCGCCAATCTTGGGGCCTATTGGAAGTTCATGAAGAAAATAGCCCCGAAGATCAATCAGTATCATAGGGATGCCTACCGCGGTTCTGTGTTTGAGCACTATATTGTATTCGGTGCTCCTGCTCCCGATCTGCCCACTCTGGAATTGCTGCTGCGCTATTATGACGGAGACAAGAGCACATTTTCCATACCGGATTCAAATAGCGGGGCTGTTAGAAAGGTAAAATTTGATCTGCAATGGGTCCACAACCACACTCATTTTCCTATGAATGGTGAAGTTGTAAGTAACAATCGGGACTCAAACAGCAGAATATGGATGAAATACTTTGCAAATCTTTACATTTCTGAAGAAGGCAAGAGGTCGAAAAAACCAGAAACCTCCCAGCGCAAACACCTCGAAGGGCATCTGGAACGGTTAGTGGAATCAACAGAAACGGGGGATATCCAGGAATTTGTTTTGCTACAAATCCTGTACCAATGCTCTATGATATGGAGCCCCAGAGCAGGGGAAGGTATCCCTAGACCCGTACTCAGATATCTGGATAGCATTGAGAGGGTCAAGTCTGTTGCATGGGCCCGGTTCTTTTATGATGAAATTATCAGGGGCATTGGTGTTGCGCTGGAGGGAAAGAAGGAGCGAAAGAAGGCATATGTCCCAGGTTGCATGACACTACTATGTGTAAGTTTCATAATTTTACCTATATTATTTCATTCTAGTTCTGTCTTATTCCTAGCTTGTTGTAAATTAGGTTATGTTATTTCTATCTTATTTTATGTTAGTTCTACTATACAACACGTTATTTATGTTGTACAACATGTTATTCTACAACATGTTAGTTCTATTGACTGTTTTGTTAGTTCTAATGACTGTTTTGTTAGTTCTAATGACTGTTTTGTTAGTTCTAATGACTGTTTTGTTAGTTCTAATGACTGTTTTGTTAGTTCTAATGACTGTTTTGTTAGTTCTAATGACTGTTTTGTTAGTTCTAATGACTGTTTTGTTAGTTCTAATGACTGTTTTGTTAGTTCTAATGACTGTTTTGTTAGTTCTAATGACTGTTTTGTTAGTTCTAATGACTGTTTTGTTAGTTCTAATGACTGTTTTGTTAGTTCTAATGACTGTTTTGTTAGTTCTATTGACTGTTTTGTTAGTTCTAATGAGAGTTAGTTCTGATAGGTACCATGTTAGATCTATTTGCTGTTCTGATGAGAGTTATTTCTGTACAGTGTCATGCTAGCTCTAATGTGTAGCATGTTAGTTCTATGTGTTTACACCCCCAACCCAAAAAAAAAAAGAAAAAAGAAAAAAGAGAGACAACTTGTCACTCTCTTCAGGTTTCTAAAATACGTGATTATAGCTCATGACTAAACCCCATCTCCAAACCATAATAAATATCCCTCTCCAAATTCTAGAACTTCCCCTATTTCCTTACCCCCAACCCAAAAAAAAAAAGAAAAAAGAAAAAAGAGAGACAACTTGTCACTCTCTTCAGGTTTCTAAAATACGTGATTATAGCTCATGACTAAACCCCATCTCCAAACCATAATAAATATCCCTCTCCAAATTCTAGAACTTCCCCTATTTCCTTACTTCAATGCACTTGCAGCTTATCTTCTGTGAATGATGCACACTTCTCTTCTCACTTTCATCTATAGCGAAAGAACTTATCAGAACGTTGAAAGTAATCATAAAGTTCACTAATGAGGCCACATGGGAACAGCAATATGTTAGGATTCACATTTCTCTAAACTTCACTAAACGATCAAAACCAGTTGAAAATACCGAATGTTCTCAGTATTAAATACAAGTCAACAATGTAAGCATCTGGAAAGGGTTCAAGGTCCAAATTTTTGGCCTGTTGACAATATCACGTTCCCAAATTTTGAACTATCAATGCACAAAACCATGTCACTATCAGAAATGAAACTCATATTAAAAGTTTGAATGGAAGAAAAACATCACCTTTGAACCCATAAATTGATGCACCAGCAACGAAACCACCCACCGCACCATTAATAAAGTCCCTCTTCATCCTCTGCTTCTGCACCAACTGCTCAACACCAACGTAGATTCCTCCAACAGCAGCAAAGGTGAGACCATAGTTACCGCACATCTTCAGGGTCCTGATCAACCCCGGGAGCGCAACACTTCTCTCTACACGAGGCACATCATGCCATGAGGCAACAATTGTACCCCAAATAGTACCGACAGCTAAACCCATGGTTGCCCCTTTAATCGTTTTCATGCCTGGGCTATCTTCATCTTCCAAATACCTAAGGTCTGTCTCGTCCATTTTCTCGTTCTAGAAGCTAAGCAATAAACTCCAATCAGCTGATATAACAAAACAAAAGTGAATCAGAGAAAAAAAAAGAGTATCAATAAACAAAAAAAATTAGCTATATAGTCTGAATAACCGATGCAGACATTGGTTTTCAAATAATGCACTTCCCCAGAAATCATCAGAAGCTACACGGTCAATATCTCTCCTCATCCCTCATACTTTACTATGTCAGAAGATGAACCCATGTTTCCCTTCAATTGTTTTCGCGGTTAAGGTTTCCTCATCTTTTTTCAATTTATCAAAGTTTCGACTCATCAATGCGCTCTCTCTAGAAACTATCTATGTAATAAAATCTAATCAAACGATACGAATAAACAAAACTAATCAGGGAAAGAAAAAAAAAGAATGTTGTGAACAAAATTCATCTTTCCTTATCCCATTACCGTTTACTGCGTCGACACATTCAATAAATCAACCCATCATCTCTTGATTATGGCTTGCATTCCAAACAATTGGAGTCAAAGTACTAATTTGACACAGATTGAATCGAGTTCAAATTGAAAGGGGATTATGATTTAAATAAATTCTAATCCTTATCACATAACAATAATCGGCCTTTTGGGTTAATGATCCATGGTGAATCAAAGATCATGCTTCCCAAAATTAAAATTAAAATAAACCTGTTATCAATATTATCACCATCCACCATTTTTCTCTCTAAGAGCATAGATCCACCCAAAACCTCAGCTAGCTAAAAAAAAACCCTAAATTTCAACATCAAATAGAATCGAGAAACTGCGTAATTTATAAAGTTTCAGTTTTGTATTTGATTAAATTATTTTTTAAAAAATATTATTTTAAAAAATAATATATTATTTTAAAGATAATATATTACTTTTAAAACTAACATATTATTTTGAAGAAATTATTATAATAATAATTATTTTAAAAGATTAATGTTGTTTTTTTTTAAAAAAATTTTTGAAGAAATTATTATAATAAGAATTATTTAAAAGATTATTTTAAACCTTTAATGAATTTATTTTTGAAATATTAAGTAATGATTTTGATTTTAATAAATTTAGGTCAGTTGTAACTAAGTTTATGAGATGCCGGAGTTCTAATATAAGGGTTTACTTTGCAATAATTTATTGGGAAAATTGTGTCCAGGCCCCAAAAGTGGGAACTTCATGTGACAAGCCCCCTCGTATTTCGGCCCATGTGTATTAGCCCCAAATACGCACAGTATTTGTTATGGGACCCCTAACTACTCTTTTTCAGAAAAACAAAGGCGGAAGTTACGCTCTTGCCCTTCTGATGGGACTGAACTCGGTCTCTCTCTCTCTCTCTCTCTCTCTCTCTCTCTCTCTCTCTCTCTCTCTCTCTCTCTCTTCCACCTCTTTGTTGTCTCAGAAACTCGAGATTATGTCCAATTTCTCACCGCCGTTCAACAGTTTTAGGGTTTTCGCCTGAATCATGTCGTCCAGGGAAGGATCATTTTCCGATTTCGAGGTCGACCACCGACGCGTCGAAGGGCCAAGACGTATCATCTGGGCTTGAAAGCGCGGAGGAGGCGACGCAAACCCTAATGGAGATGCAAAAGGAGGCGATAGCACGTCGAGACAACAAAAGACGACCCTCGACGGCCGAGCGTACCATCCAACCCTCCCCCGAAAAACAGTATGTTCTATGTTATCGAGAATCTGGGAAATCGACCTAATTTTGCGTAAATTCAGTTCATCTCAAAAATACCAGTTGTAGATGAGTACACATGATGTAAGTGCTGGATTGATTCTAATGTTAGTTCTAGGTTGATTCAAATGTTAGTTCTAGGTTGATTCAAATGTTAGTTCTAGATGATTCCAATGTTAGTTCTAGATTGATTCCAATGTTAGTTCTAGATGATTCCAATGTTAGTACATTGACTTCAATGTTAGTTCTTGGACGGAGATATAAATGTAGATTTTGTTAGTTCTAATATTAGTCCGTTAGTTCTATTGATCCTACAAATTCGAATTGTTTTTACAGGGAAAATGTTGCACCTACAGATGCGGCCGAGTCACGAAGGCTGACCGCCAATCTTGGGGCCTATTGGAAGTTCATAAAGAAAATAGCCCCGAAGATCAATCAGTATCATAGGGATGCCTACCGCGATTCTGTGTTTGAGCACTATATTGTATTCGGTGCTCCTGCTCCCGATCTGCCCACTCTGGAATTGCTGCTGCGCTATTATGACGGAGACAAGAGCACATTTTCCATACCGGATTCAAATAGCGAGGCTGTTAGAAAGGTAAAATTTGATCTGCAATGGGTCCACAACCACACTCATTTTCCTATTCATGGTGAAGTTGTAAGGAACAACCGGGACTCAAACAGCAGAATATGGATGAAATACTTTGCAAATATTTACATTTCTGAAGAAGGCAAGAGGTTGAAAAAACCAGAAACCTCCCAGCGCAAACACCTCGAAGGGCATCTGGAACGGTTAGTGGAATCAACAGAAACGGGGGATATCCAGGAATTTGTTTTGCTACAAATCCTGTACCAATGCTCTATGATATGGAGCCCCAGAGCAGGGGAAGGTATCCCTAGACCCGTACTCAGATATCTGGATAGCATTGAGAGGGTCAAGTCTGTTGCATGGGCCCGGTTCTTTTATGATGAAATTATCAGGGGCATTGGTGTTGCGCTGGAGGGAAAGAAGGAGCGAAAGAAGGCATATGTCCCAGGTTGCATGACACTACTATGTGTAAGTTTCATAATTTTACCTATTTTATTTCATTCTAGTTCTGTCTTATTCCTAGCTTGTTGTAAATTAGGTTATGTTATTTCTATCTTATTTTATGTTAGTTCTACTATACAACACGTTATTTATGTTGTACATGTTATTCTACAACATGTTAGTTCTATTATTTGTTTTGTTAGTTCTATTGACTGTTTTGTTAGTTCTATTAACTGTTTTGTTAGTTCTAATGACTGTTTTGTTAGTTCTATTGACTGTTTTGTTAGTTCTATTGACTGTTTTGTTAGTTCTATTGACTGTTTTGTTAGTTCTATTGACTGTTTTGTTAGTTCTATTGACTGTTTTGTTAGTTCTATTGACTGTTTTGTTAGTTCTATTGACTGTTTTGTTAGTTCTATTGACTGTTTTGTTAGTTCTATTGACTGTTTTGTTAGTTCTATTGACTGTTTTGTTAGTTCTAATGAGAGTTAGTTCTGATAGGTACCATGTTAGATCTATTTGCTGTTCTGATGAGAGTTATTTCTGTACAGTGTCATGCTAGCTCTAATGTGTAGCATGTTAGTTCTATGTGTTTACGTGTTAGTTCTAATGTTAGTTCTAATGTGCAGCATGTTAGTTCTAAGTGACTGTTTTGTTAGTTCTATTGACTGTTTTGTTAGTTCTAATGAGAGTTAGTTCTGATAGGTACCATGTTAGATCTATTTGCTGTTCTGATGAGAGTTATTTCTGTACAGTGTCATGCTAGCTCTAATGTGTAGCATGTTAGTTCTATGTGTTTACGTGTTAGTTCTAATGTTAGTTCTAATGTGCAGCATGTTAGTTCTAAGTGACTGTTTTGTTAGTTCTATTGTCTGCTTTGTTAGTTCTAATGCTCAGTGTGTTAGTTATGTTAGTTCTTTTGTTAGTTCTATTAACGCTCTTGTTAGTTCTAAAGAGAGTTAGTTTGATAGGTACCATGTTAGATCTATTTGCTGTTCTGATTAGTGTTAGTTCTGTACAGTGTCATGCTAGGTCTAATGTGTAGCATGTTAGTTCTTGAGCATATTTCAGTTGTGTGAGTTCTAAATTATGCCTTGCTATTCTAGTATATACCATGTTAGTATGTTAGTTCTAAAACTGTTCTATTATTAACTTAAATGCGAAATATATTTGCTACAGCTATGGTACTACGAGATGACTGGCATTAAAAAATATGGTCTCGTAGATAGCTCCAAACCCCCAATGACAAATTGGGCACCGGATAGCATGAAAGTCCCATCTATGAAGGTGGTGACTATTACGGAGAAGGCTAAGGCAGCGTCAATAGCATTTGTCCACAGGCAAATTGAGGAAGTGTCTCCTCCTCTAGTTGAGCAGGCGTTCCCCGCTGCACAGAGGAGAAAAGTTGCGCATCATAAGCGCGAGACAAAGAGGAGGAAGGCTAGCCAGGAGAAAACGCCTGGGAACTTCTCTGTAGGCTACGTACGTATCCCCTTATGTTAAGTCTTACTCATTTTACAATAACTAAAAACAATATCCTAATTATAATCTCTTATTAATATCAGACCATGGCAAAGCATATGGACGTTTTTGACAATGAGGAGGAGATCAAATGTCTTCCCATAGATCAGCAACTTACATTGTGGAGAAATTCTGCTAAATTTCTCAAAAGATTGCTGGATGACACAAAGCAGACCAAAGAATTTATGATTGAGATCAACAGGCTGAACAGGATAATTGAAGATTTGAGAAGACATGATAAGATTGCAAATGGAAAAAGGAAGAAGCGGCGGGTAAATCAAGAGGAACAGAGGTCTAAACCGAGCAGTGTATATAGTGAAGACCCAAACACGCAGCTTAATGTACATAAGAATGTAGAAGAGGATGTTAAGCATCATGTTGACGTTGTTCAAAGAGAGGAGGAGGATATTGTAGAAGAGCGTAATGAAGAGGAGCATATTGCAGACGAGGTTGATGTAGATATCAAAGTTTTTGCAGAAGAACCTACTGATTTTGCAGATAAGAAGGAGGATATTGTAGATAAGGGGGAAGAGGCTTCTGATAAGTTGGGTGATTTGCTGGTTGATTTAAATGTAGATAGTAAGGTTGATGCGAAAGAAGATAGTGAGGCTGAGGAACATGTACATATGAAAGAGGAACATGAGAATAGGGACGACGATCATGTTGAACATGCACAGGTTATTGTAGATAGCACATTAACGGATGAGAGTCATGTTGCTTCAAAGGAAGCAAGTGAGGATTTACATCTTGTGAATAGTACGCACGACGTTGACAGAATTGTAGAAGTGCTAACTGGTAATGTCGAAGAGAAAGCAATGGGTAGCCCAAAGCCATGAAGGGTAAGCAAGAGATCTAAATGGCGGAGGACCCCATATACTGAAGGAAAAAGAAAGAAAAAGCAAATGACGATTATAGATGTTTTTGAAAGTCCTGAAAAGGGGCAAAAAGTTGACACGATTATTCAATTTTTTTCGGATAATCAAATCGGCAACTGGGATGTCATGAGTTTGAAGCCAATGACTCGTGAAGAGGTAGCTCTATTGGCAGAGCTGAATACAGATATTACAGACTCGTCTTTGTTTAACATCCGCATTATCGATAGCACGGGTGCTTTCATACATAATTTTACTATATCACCTCTAGCAGCATCCAGACTCAACAAACTTGAAAATGATTTCTTATCCAAATTCTGCTCTCAGAAGATACACATGTATGATTCAGTTGACTATTTTTATTCTTATTTGTTAAGTATTAGTTCTAATTGCAGTTAGTTCTGGGTTTCAGGAGATATAAGGTTATTGAAACGTCGAATAGCAGCATCAGCAGAGCAGATTTGTTGACTTTGCTCCGAGGTGGCCGGCTTGACGACAAGGTTAGATTATACTTCAAGGCAAAGTTGAAAATGTATGGCTTAATTAGATCTTTAATGTATTTCTAATATTACAGATGGTTGAGTCAGTGCTGGACACGATTAGTGTGGATGCGTTTGGCAAAGGATATGGTCTCGTATCAGTGTTCTTTCTTGTAAGTACATGTTAGACCTAAATTGACCATGCTAGTTAGTTTATAACATGTTAGTTCTATTCCCTATCAAGTTAGTTCTATTCCGTATCATGTTAGTTCTATTCTGTACAATGTTAGTTCTACGGAATAACATTGTTAGTTCTATTCAGTACCATGTTAGTTCTATTCCCTATCATGTTAGTTCTATTCAGTAATATGTTCGTTCTACGGTATAACATGTTAGTTAGTTCTATACCTTATCATGTTAGTTCTAGTCTGTTTAATGTTAGTTCTATCTCCGTGCTTGCAGCATTCATTATACGGCATCGAACCCAGCTTTTACGAACTATTTTTGACATACATTGAAAAGTATACCGCCCTCCGCATTATGCATCTATTGATCCCTTTGGTCAGGGACGACCATTGGCATCTGGTTGAAGTTGACCTGAGGGATGATGTTGTCAAGCACTATAGTTCGGCCGGGCACGAATCGTGGTTGGAGCCGGTTAACAAAATTATAAAATTCTTTGATATGCAGCGCGTGGATTTTGTTGCGCAAAATGTGCGCAGAGTATTCAAATATGAAGCCGTCGCATGCGAGCGGCAAATTGGGCGGTTAGTTCTATTACCTATCATGTTTCTATTTGCATTAGTTCTATAGCTACATTGTATTATTGCGAGAATGTCTGATTTAGTCTTCTGTTCTGCCTTCTGTTCTGCAGATTTGACTGTGGTGTGTTCGTCTACCTATATATAAAAGCAATAATTGATGGCCGCCCAACAACTCGTGTTAATCCGCCTGGCGAAGTACCTGATGCTATGCGAGCAAGACTCGCCGCGCAATTATTAATAGCTGGCTATGAACGAAGATGTAAAGACGAAACGGTGTACAGTGATGAATGACATGTCTATATAAATACAGAATGGAGTGTATATTTGTATAAAAAATGTGTTCTCGGTCCCAACTTCAACTTGGTACTCCACGTTGCCAAGTTAGAACAACTTCTTTTCTTGTTAGTTCTAAATGAGTTATAGTCGTAAAGGAGTGCTAGTTCTAAATGGGTGATAGTTCTAGCGAGGGCTCGTTAGTTCTATCTCATTGGTATTATTTTAGTGTTTGTTTGAAGAGATGACTTTCCATCACCACCAATTGTTACTCTAGCTGTTCAGCTTTTTTCTCCTGTCACGTCCCATCGTACCAATTGATCACATCATACATTCACGCGTTCCCAAGTGAGGTAAGGCGGACATTTAATGATGACATTGCATCGATACTCACGTCACCACCATCAAGAACTTAAGCCATTTTCGAAGCGGAGAACTATTTCCGGCGTAAATTCTTCTTGCAAATGGCTAAGGAATTTTTCTGTGTTCACTGCCGCCTATCGATTCAATTTTAGAACGTGGCCCCACCAAATCAAGCAGGCAGCCGGAAACAGTTTCATGGTGCAGTTTCCAAGCGATCCCATACTTGCACAAGCTGTTCAACTCGGACTGATAGATATGGGCACATTTAAGGGTAGATTCCGCCGTTGGGAGGAGGATCTGAGGCTAGTAACGTTGCCGCAAACTTTTCCAGTATGGATTCGGCTATTCAATGTCCCATACCACCTGTGGAATTTTGAATTTCTTCGCTCGCTGCTCATGGGAGTCGGTGAATGTGTCATGTGCTCCAGGGACGTCATAACACATTCTAACTTCGCAGACTGCAGAGTTCTTCTGAAGGTTAGGAATTTATCTGAAATCCCTAAGAGGCTTAGGTTCCGTTACATCTCCCCCGGCGACGGAAACATAAAGGAAGGCTACGCCGTGACGCAGGTCCAGAGCGGGGAGAAGTTGGAATTGCTTCAGGAATCCACGCCCGAGTTAATTGAGGTTGTTTGGGACGGGAGAAACATGACGGTCGAAAGAGACCAGTGGCAGCTGTTTCTCCGCAACCAAGGAGTCGGGGGTTCCAATTATCCCAGAGCTCTCCCAACACCCAATGATAATCGCCCATTAGACCCAGCCGGGGCGGATAGTGGTTCCACGGCTCCAAGCTCTCCATCCTCACATCGCTTTCGATCCAGCAAAGGTAGCAACAAATGAAGATTCGGTACCAATTGAGTTTAACGCTTAACGCATTGGCCCAATTTTATTTATATTTTTCATCTGAACAAATACAGTTTTAATTTTACCCCTTCTTCGGGTTAGTACTGATTTTCTTTGTACTTACTTATGTTAGCTGGCGTGTTAGTACTGACCAGTTATATCTATATTTACTGCTGTTTTTGTGTGTTAGTTCTATATACTGAGTTAGTTGTGCGGGATAGTTCTAATGTGTAGCATGTTAGTTCTATTAGGTACCATGACTGTTTTGTTAGGTCTATTGTCTGTTTTGTTAGTTCTATTGTCTGTTGTGTTAGTTCTAATTGACTGTTTTGTTAGGTCTATTGTCTGTTTTGTTAGTTCTATTGTCTGTTTTGATAGTTCTAATAGACTGTTTTGTTAGGTCTATTGTCTGCTTTGTTAGTTCTATTGTCTGTTTTGATAGTTCTAATTGACTGTTTTGTTAGGTCTATTATCTGCTTTGTTAGTTCTATTGTCTGTTGTGTTAGTTCTAATAGACTGTTTTGTTAGGTCTATTGTCTGTTTAGTTAATTCTATTGTCTGTTGTGTTAGTTCTAATAGACTGTTTTGTTAGGTCTATTGTCTGCTTTGTTAGTTCTATTGTCTATTGTGTTAGTTCTAATAGACTGTTTTGTTAGGTCTATTGTCTGCTTTGTTAGTTCTATTGTCTGTTTTGTTAGTTCTAATAAACTGTTTTGTTAGGTCTATTGTCTGTTTTGTTAGTTCTATGGACTATTTTGTTAGTTCTATTATCTATTGCCTGTTCTGTTAGTTCTAATGCTCAGTGTGTTAGTTGTGTTAGTTATTTTGTTAGTTCTATTAACGCTCTTGTTAGTTGTAATGAGAGTTAGTTCCATTAACGCTCAGTGTGTTAGTTCTATGTGTTTTCGTGTTAGTTCTAATGCTCAGTGTGTTAGTTCTGTACAGTGGCATGCTAGTTCTAATGTGTAGCATGTTAGTTCTATTAGGTACAATGTCTGTTTTGTTAGTTCTATTGTCTGTTTTGTTAGATCTATTGTCTGTTTTGTTAGTTCTATTGACTATTTTGTTAGTTCTATTAGGTACAATGTCTATTTTGTTAGTTCTATTGTCTGTTTTGTTAGTTCTAATAGGAACCATGTTAAATCTATTTTTAGAAGTGTGCTAGCAAATCGGACAATACAGATCTATTTTCATTACATGTTTTATTTCAAAACACACTTAGTCATCGCTAGTTTCATTTCAATCACACTTAGTCAGCGATGGTTTCATTACAGGTTTTACGATTATGCCCTTCCAGATGACACCGAGAACATTTAACTGGCCGGGTGTAAACAGTTCTGTTGTTGATTCGCCTGGTCTTATTTCTCCCTTTCCTTTTTGTTGTAATTGGAGGTAGGATCTGTATCTCATCCCTTGGCACGCTGCGTTTCTCGTAGTCAGGTATAGGGTAGATGATAGGCTCGTAGCTCCTTTTAAAGGCGTCAGCCGTCATAAACCAGTCATAGAATTGGTAGACATCCCTTTTCATAAACATAATGCTTGCGCATGCATGTTTGCAAGGGACACGGGTTACATCCCACCCACGGCAAGTGCATGTTTTATTGTCTAGATCCACTTGACAAGATCTATGGGATTGTACTTCAAATAAGCCTGTGTGGGACTGACGAACCTCCAACGGGCGTCCATTGTCCATGTTCTCCTTGAGGGCAATTTCAGCTTTGGGGCAAAGAACTTGATTCCAACTTTCAGCCATGACTCGTCGCTCATTCATGCGCACCATGATCTGTTTACGAATATGCTCTATCAGTTGGAGTATCCGTAGAAGCCTTGCCTCATGAATCCATTTGTTGAATGACTCTGCAACATTTGATGTAACGTGACCATATCTAAACATAGACAGTGTTAGTTCTATCTACTTCTATTAGTTATATGTAAGGTAATCAAATGAAATATTACTTGCCTAACTCCAGGAAAAAACGCATTGGCCCAGTTTTCTGGAGCATAGTTCATCACAATATTGTATGCACGCTCGTCAATTAGTCTGATGTCGTCCATATAATCATTCCATTCTGCTCTAGTATATTTGTAACAGGCAGATTGCAGTAGATTACCCAAGATCTGAGAATCCTTTGACTTGAATCCCAAATCCTTCAACTTTGTTCTGAAGTTCTCGACCAGATGCAGCACACAGCGAGAGTGTATAGAATCGGGAAAAAATTCTCTAACTGCTTCTCTGATCCCTTTATCCGCATCTGAAATTATCACTAGCTTATGTGGAGGGTTGTATGGATCTGCCCTTTCATAGAGAATGGACCACAGACCTACAAAGAGTATTGGTTAACATCCCTTAAAATTAACTACGAAGGAGATAGAATTGTAATAGCGATATTAGAACTAGATTTCTGAAGTGTTAGTTCTGTCAGGTGTCGTGTCAGTTCTAATATTTTGCCCGTTAGTTCTATTGTTCATTGTGTTAGTTCTATTATTTCTCTTGTTAGTTCTATTGTCTGTTGTGTTAGTTCTATTATTTCTCTTGTTAGTTCTATTATCTGTTGTGTTAGTTCTGTTATTGATAGTGTTAGTTCTATTGTCTGTCTTGTACAGTGTCATGTTAGTTCTAATGTGCAGAGTGTTAGTTCTATTGTCTGTTGTGTTTGTTCTGTTATTGATAGTGTTAGTTCTATTTGTTCATTTTTAATAGCTGCATTTGATTGTGGTGTGTTAGTTCTATTTTTGTTGGCACCATCATGTATAATGTTGGAACTAACCTTGTAGGAACCACTTCCAGTTAACATTATTTTCTTGATCGCAGATACAATAGGCCAATGGAAATATCCCCTGATTGCCATCATATGCTACGGTGCTTAATAGTATACCTTTGAATCGATCTTTCAGAAAGGTTCCATCCAAAAATATAAGTGGTCTGCAACATTGTAAAAAACCATTTATGCAGGCCGCATAGCATATGAATATCCTTGTAAACCTACCCTCGTCTTGTTCAACATGAATGTAGCTTCCCGGATTTGTCTTCTTAACCTCGTCTACATACCTAGATAATTGAAGATTAAGCGTTAGTTTCAACATTATAAAGTTATGAGACTTATAGCATCATATAAATGAAAACAACAGCAACTTGTGTATATATGATCTTCTGATTTACCATCTCAATTGATCGTAGGACTCATAAGCATCACCATATAATCGCTCTTGAGCTCTTTCTTTACCCCACCAAATCTTACTATATTCAACCCTAATCCCATATGAACTTAGAAACTCCTTCTGAACGTCAATAGGTCGTATATCCGGACGTACCTTCAACGTGGGTTGTAATTGGGTAGCAATGAAATGACGAGAGGCTCTAGATTGACCTGCATTATTGGCATGTTGTCCACAGTTGTGAATGTCCACGAACCTTTTTATTTCAAGTCTATTATCATTTTTCGGCGGAGAGGCAAATAACATCCATGGGTAATTTTTTGGCTACCTTAAACCGGCAAAAAACTTGAATACGCTTTGGTTCATTCTTCACAAACTCATATTCGAATTTTTTGGCCATGGAGTAGTATAGCAAGGCCAATCTTAACTCCTTCACACTTTCAAAACGTTGCCCCTCCCCAGTTAACGCAGTGTGCCACCAAGCAGGAATCCTCTCAGATCTGCTAATCATGTCATCAATCATCATAACATTATCTCTTGAAGGAATGTCATTGGGATTCTTATCTGCAACAGTTGTGGACGACAACTCCGGCGGGCCACAGTCTATACTTTTCGAGTTTAGACTTCTGGAAGCGCTACAAATATTAACAACTGGAACATAGTTAATCATAAACTACACAAATAAAAGTGTTGATAGGTCTAACATGCTTTAGAGTAGCTCTACCCCATATGGAACTGGTGATAGAACTAACATACAATCGTGTAGAAGTAACAAAATAGCTACTAGAACTAACAGAAACCCCTATATGTATTAATAGAACTAACATGCATGCAATCGTGTAGAACTAAGATGCATGCAATCGTGTAGAACTAACAAAATAGCGATTAGAACTAACAAAATAGTCATTAGAACTAACAAAATAGCCATTAGAACTAACAAAATAGCGATTAGAACTAACAAAATAGCCATTAGAACTAACAAAAACCCGTTCAGCAACAACACGTTGATTAGAACTAACAGGTCAACGATTACAACTAACATATTGTTGAAATGCATCTGAAATCCAGTTTAACATTCAACATAGACAAAAAGAAGACGATTAGCACTAGCGTTCGTTTACTTCGCAGTTAACCTACATGTCTTGTGGGACTTGCTCTTTGCAAGGTTGGACTCGCTCATTGCAGTGTATATTCTGCAAATCATCAGCTTCTTTAAAAGCTTTCATGTGAACCTCTTTCAGTCCAAGATTGTGGCAATGCTCCACCATAGACATCATGTCCCCCTTGTTCTCAATAGGTAATTTCAAGCTTCCAGCTGTTTCATCTTCGTATGACAGAATTAATGACTCATATGGAATACCTAACCTCTCTGCCACATCAAATTTAAGATCCAGGATGGTGGTTGAGGAGTTAATCTTCAAAAACACCGCTTTGTACCCCGAAGAGACAGTGCAAATGATGTCCTTCTCAGCCATTTTGAAGAGAAGGTAAGATTAATGGCGCGAGTAAAGGAGAGAATTTTGGTCTGAGGAGAAGTAATGGATAACTAAATAGTTATTGCTCATGATGGGAAAAAAAGGGGGGAAATTTCCCTCCATTTCTTCCATCTTATCGCATTAAAGAGGAGTGTCTACTGTTAAGGGACGGCGCCTCGTCTGGGGAAGAAGGAGAAGAGCAGTATCGCCTTTTTTGAAAAAATACAATCTGCTTTGGTACAACGCTGACGTGGAGGGGGCTTAAAACATTAGTATTTACTTTTTGGGGCTAATACACATGAGCCGAAATACGAGGGGGCTTGTCACATGAAGTTCCCACTTTTGGGGCCTGGACACAATTTTCCCATCCAGGTATTGACTGAGCATAAATTTAGAGGGTTTATTTACTCGAAAAGTTCAGAAAATAAAATTGATTTATCTGATCAAAGTCAAAAATTTTACATTTTAGGCCACCTTTACTTTTCCCGCAAATCATAACAAAAACGTTCTCTATCCAATCACAACCGTTCATCAAGCCATTACTACATCCTACGGTCACAACGTCCGGTCCCACTTTATTTCTACATCGGGGCCTTACAGATTTGCCCTAAAAATCTCTCCTTTCGCAATTTTTTTCCTCTGCTCACTCTCAAAACCCTAATCAAATGTCTTCATACGGTGGCGAAGGCGGATACGGCCAGGCGGATACGGCAGAGGCGGCGGAGGAGGCGGCGGAGGATACGGAAGAGGAGGCGGAGGCGGTGGTGGATACGGTGGAAACTCCAACAGAGGTTATTAGGGTTTCTTTTCTCATCCGATTCCAGTGTAAATATCGTATTCCTGTGATCTAATCAAGAGTTTCGTTATTTATTCAGGAGGAGGTGGAGGTTACGGCGGTGGTGGAGGTGGAGGAGGTGATCGCGGCGGCGGTCGAGGCGGCCGTGGAGGCGGCGGCGGCGGCCGAGATGGAGATTGGGTCTGCCCTAACTCTAGGTTGGATTCTTATTTCTCTTTTGGCACTAAATTTGTTTTCTTTATTTGATTTGTTTGTTAATTGATCTTATTCTCGATCCAGCTGCGGTAACGTAAATTTTGCGAGAAGAACAGAGTGTATAAATGCGGAGCCCCGTCTCCTGCCGGTGGAGGTGGCGGGGAGGATCTAGCAGAGGCGGAGGTGATTATACGCAGTGGCAGATCTGACATAATTATGGCGCTGTGGTGCTGTAGGAATTATGATGGGGGTAGGAGTTATGATGTAACCGTGTGGCAGTTCTGGTAATTATGAGAAGGGGAGGTAGAGATGTAGAGATGTGGCGGCTATGCCTCAGGCCTCGTCCCCTCTGCTCCTGCACCTTATTATGTTGCTCCTCCTGCTGGAATTACCCTCCGGCCCCTTAATGGTGGCGGCGGAATGGCTTTATGCGAGCGAGAGCGGTCCCACCTCCGGCGACTTACGGTGGGTCCCAGCTCATATCCTCCGAGCTTACGGAGCACCTGCCGCCACGCGAACCCTTGATGTGCACAGTGGCCCGTGGCCGGGAAATCCGGGGCGGTATGATGGTGGAATATGGGAGGTCGATGGGGTCTAAGGGTCTGATGTGTGGTGGTGGGGATATGGCGGTGCTCCTATGCGAGCCCCCAGTGGCGAAAGTTAAGCAATGCGATGAGAATTGTGGTGATTCTTGTGACAATGCTAGGATTTATATCTCAAATTTACCCCCAGATGTTACTACTGAAGAGTTGCAGGAGCTTTTTGGAGGGATTGGGCAGGTACTGATTTATGTTTTCTTTAGTATAGTTTATATATTTGTTTATCCCATTATTCAAGGCAGTTTACTTGCAACATAACAAATGGTCACAAAGACACAGTTGAGTCCTTTATGCTTAATGGTAACCCTCATATAGACATTCCCATCCCAAACCACAAAAAAGGATGAAGGACAAAAACTGGAGTTATCGAGAGGTCTTCCAGAAATCATATTTTCAGACTATTATTGTCTTTCTATAGTTTCTGTACCTAAATAATGTCAAAGACTCAATAATTACGTAATATGAAGGTGGTTACCAGCAGGATATTAGACAAAAAAAGAAAATAAAAAAAAGAACCAAGAAAAGAAAAAGAAGTGAACTCAGCAGAAAAAAGATGGAAGCAACAGGAAGAAAGCAAGAAAATGAAGAGAAAAGAGAAGAAACATACCTCACTACTAGATTTTGATTGCCACTCGCAGATTTTTATTGCCGCTGGCCAATTTCTGAAGTCTGATCACTGTCACAGCTCGACAATGAAGAGAAAAGTGGGAACAAGAAAAGCTGATGAAAAAGAAAGAAGCCCTAATTGTTTGGATCAGGTTATTTGAGTTTTGGGTTTAAGTGGTAACCGGGTTCTACCAATAACCGTGAAATTTCAATTAAAATCTGATTACTGATGCATTTAAAAACATTGGTGGAAAGTTTGAGGAACATAAACATATTTTCCCCGCAAAAGGAAATTGCGTCTGAAATGGGGATGATGACTTGCAATCAGCTTGGATCCAAAGGAGGGGAGGGAAAGTGAGTGATTTAGGTAAATCCATGGGGAGGTGGAAAGTGAAGGGGTGGGATCTACTTAATAGTGTTTGGATAGACAATAAGGGGATGAGAGAGTTTACTACAATTTGAGTTTGTTTAGAGTAGAGAATGGGAAGCGAAGGGAAGCTACTTGACCAATATGTTCTTCTAAAGAAATTATAGACAATTCTATTAATTATGAGTTTTGGTTTTCTTATAGGGCAATCCTGGAATTTAAATGAAATTCCATTTACAATCCCTCTCCTCTCTCAGTCCGTCCACTTTAAGAGGGTTAAGAAAGTGGATGGATTTTCTTCTTTTTAGCCCTCCTCTCCCCTCCCATTGCTAACTAAAAAGTGTAAACAAATAGTTTTAGGAGGGTTAACATTGTAATCTCCCCCTCCCTTGCCCTCCCTTCTAAAAAAAATCTTTCCAAACCCAGTGTTGGATTCCACATCAGTTTCCTTCTGGCTTCTGTGTTTATTTATAGTAACTTTAGGATGTTTGATGGTACGGTATTAAAATGATTGTTTTGGCAATATTATTTCTTTCTACAGATAGGTACAATGCTGCTTCGGGTTTTATTCGTATCCGTTTTGTTTTAGACGTAGGGATCATTTTTAGATATATCATACATGTTTATTCTAGATATTCATGTCTGTGTGATAACGCCTGTTGTTCCATAACCATATTAGGTGATGCACTATATAAATAGCTGATGAATTTGTAAGCGTGATTTGGAAGTGTATGAAAATGCAAATGTATGTAAAATGTTCCTTGAGAAGATTTGCATGTAAACTTTTAAACGGCTAAAATACCAGATTGGCCTAAATAGTGATACCCCTTTACCACTTTGGCCTAAAAAGTGACATCGACGACAATTTAACCTAAAAAGTGACAAATTGATGACAAATAGGCTTTTCTAATCACCGGAGTTATTTTTTAGCAAAAATTTAAAGAAATTTTATATATAGACCACTCAATCTCTTATGATTTTTAAATTAACCCATCTCCTTTCCCTAAATTTCTGAAATTTGTGAAAAAAATCCTCTTTTTCCACTATCTTCTTCCTCCTTCTCACCATCTTCTCGATTCCCTTATTCTTCATATACCCTAACCTTCCCTCCTACCTTATTTCATGGATCATCAAACTTACTTTCTAATTTCCTTTATCTCCTCCAATCTCTTTTACTCCAAATCCCTAACATCTCCTCTTTCCCATTCCTTCTTCCTTCTCCTCATCCTTTCTCTCACTCTCTCTTCCTAGTTGCTTCACCCACTCCAATATCCAAAATTAAATATTCCACCACAAATCTTAACCTCATTCGTCTCTTCTTGTCTTGCTCTCTTTCTTCCTCCTTGCTTTCTACTCTTTCATCCTCCAATCATTAAAAAACCAATCTCCTTAAGAGTGAGGATATATGAAAGAAAGGAGAGAATGGTGACGATTTGGAAAAGAAAAGAATAAAAGAGATGACAAGAAGGATGAGGGAAAATATGGTGGGAAGGGAGAGATGAGTTCTTTTTTACAAATTTTAAAACTGGAGGGATTAAATCATAAAATATGATAAGTTTGAAGGGTATATATAACAATCTCTTAATTTTCTTGCTTAAAAACCGTTTCTGGTGATCGGAAAGGTTTATTTGTCGCCAATTTGTTTCTTTTTAGGTCAAATTGTCGCCGATATTATTTTTTAGGCCAAAGTGGTAAAGATGTGGCACTATTTAGGCCAATTTGGTATTTTAGCCACTTTTAAATTATAACAGTATAGAATGATATTGCCAATTGCAACATTTATTTGAGAATTTTGGTAAAACTTCATTACATTGCGGGGCAGTAGTTGCTGCTCATAAGTTGTAATGGGTAATTGTTTTAAGCATGAAACTACCCAGGCTTCCTTTGATGATTTTTAAACTTTAGACTTAACATCGACTGCTTAACAATTTTTGTATGGACATATTACGTAGTATATGTCATAAATAATATTATGTGCTAGTTCATGCCTTACATATTGTGACAAACCTCCACCATGTGAAATGTTTATTTTGCTCATGTTCCTCGAGAAAACCTTCTTTTTTATGCTTGCATTGCATGTATAGACATCTGCTTGTATCATCCGAGTCTTTTTTTGGGTCTCTCACATGTTTTCTTGCATGTTTCTTTTACTCATGGTCCTCAAAAAGAATTTTCACTTGGGATAATATTTGTGTGCTGAAGTAGTTGCATGATTCCTTGGACCCTTCTCGAACTTCATGTATAGTTCTTGTGAATCGATTCCATGTACATTTGTGAATCGATTCTTTCCTGTATGCAATTGGTTCCCAAAATTTGACGTACCACTTAGAAAAGTGCGGCATGCAAAGTCCCTTTTAAGTGAACGTGCATAAGGTGCAATGCAATATGTGCAATTGAGTGAAGAGAGGCATAAAATAGAATATATGGTCTAATGACTTTATTGTGACTAATACCTATGTTAATGAAATGTGAAGTGAAACCATGTTCTTAACCTATGTTAATAAAATGTGAAATGAAACTATGTTCTTAACCTATGTTAATAAAATTTGAAGTGAAACCATGTTCTTAACACAAACTATGCGAAACGAAAACAAACAAATAATCGGAGTTCCATAAAAAAAGTTTAAATATTTTGTAAGAAAAATATTGAAATGCATAATTAGCTTCTAGTTTATGGTTTTCAACTAAATACTTTGGAAAAATGTTAGCGCACTCCAAAAAATTTACAACATACTACTGATCGAACATGCATACCATAGCAAGCTACCCCTATCGAATCCAAATTTTCTAAGTGGTGTTTTGCATATCTGAATCTCGCTACTTACCACGTACAGTGGAACTATGTGACCTAATATGCAACATTTATTTGAATTTTTTTTTAAAAACTTTCTTGCGTTGTGGCCACTAGTTGCTACTCATAAGTAGTGATGGGTAATTGTCTCAAGCATGGAACTATACCTGGGCTTTTTTTGGTTGATTTTTAAACTTTAGACAAACATCGATTGCTCCACAATTTTTGCTTATTGTGTCAAACCTCCAACACATGAAATGTTTCTTTTGCTCATGTTCCTCAAGAAAGCCTTCATTTTTTATGCTTGCATTGCATGTATAGATATCTGCATGCATCTTCCGGGTGTTTTTTTGGGTCTCTCACATGTTTTCTTGCATGTTTCTTTTACTCGTGTCCCTCAAAAGGAAATTTCACTTGGATATTATTTGTGGCTGAAGTAGTTGCATGATTCCCTGAACCTCGCTTGAACTCGTGTACATTTCCTATGAACCGATTTTCCTTGTATATTTGCGAATTGATTCTCTCTTGTATATGAATTGGTTCCTCAAAATTGACGTACCAGTTACAAAAGTGCGGGTTGCAAAGTCCCTTTAAGTGAACATGCGTAAGGTGCAGTGCAACGTGTGCAATTGAGTGAAGAGATGCGCAAAATAGAATATATGTGCTATCAACTTTACTGTGATTAATACCTATGTTAATAACTTAATATAATGTGAAGTGAAGCCATGTTCTTAACACAAATTATGTAAAACAAAAGCAAACAAATATATGGAACTCCGTAAAAAAGTATTAAAATATTTTGTATGCAAAATATTGAAATGCATAATTAGCTTTGTAGCTTATGGGTTTCAACTAAATACTTTGGAAAAATGTTAGCACACCGCAAAAATTTACAATGTACTACTGATCGAATATGCATACCCTAGCAAGCTACCCCCTATCGAGTCCGACTTTTCTAAGTGGTGATTTGCATATCTGAATCCGTACCATGACCCACTACCTACCACGTACTGTGGAACTGTGTCCTAATATGCAAAGATGCATGCATGATCTTCCAAGTGTTTCTTGGTCTCACATGTAAAATAATTACTTTTCCATAGTGTTGCCTCAAGATAGTAAAGTAAATATCTATTAGATTGCATGTGATTGTAAACATAAATGTAAACATAAATGTAAACAACCTTCAACATAAATACTAATTACATGTTTCTGTAATGTGCTCACTATTTTGCGAGACAATTTCTTCCGCATACCTCCATTGAATCAATGCCTTTGGTCAAATGATTTTTACACCCATATTTTTCTTTTAAAAATTTTGCAACACGTGTGCAATAAATAAATTTTCTAATGTTGGGATGACTATCTACAAGTTTTGATATTGATGAAAGCCTTAACTAAATGACCTTAAACACTTGCATGTAAAATCATTTGTCTTGGACGTGTGTTTGTTATGCAAGTATATTTGCTATGTAAAATTGAATACAATGCATCAAATTTCTACTTGTTGCCCCATATAAATTTTAGTAAAGAGATTTATGAAAGGCATACTGGATATAAGCTGTTATGTCATTTGGCAAAATCTACTTTCCTAAATATGAGTGGTTGGGGTGGTGAGTCTACCCATCACAATGTGACTAGGAGGACGGCCCTCACTATTCATCTATTTGTGGTAGCTCACTTAGAGCAAAATAAGCTAGCACATCATACTCATGTTTTTCATTATTAGATATGATCTAGCATGAGTTTCCACTCTATTACAACCCGAAACCAAATAAAAAGGGGTGAAAAAACAATTCTTTGCATCCCAGGAGGTTGATAATAGCTGTTACTTAGGGCTCCTAAGCTTCTGTGCCTGCACACAATTCTCTTTTGAAAGTAGATCCCATGTGCCAATCATGATTCTAGGGAAGATGCATAATTTGTTGTATACATGCCTATGAATCTCAGGCTGAACTAATAATATACACACATATATGCACATAGTTACATGGGTATGTGGGCATTCAGATAATCAAGGTATTAAATATCAGATATTGGGGAAATATCGGATGGCTATAATTCATATGAGATTGCAGATATCGGGAAAATATTGGGGATATGTGGTAAATATTGGAATGTCATAATGGATGTTTGTATGTATAGTATAATACACTAAAATGTAATCTCAACATAATGACATCTAACATATAAAATGTAAGTTATATATATGTTTAGAATCACTAATCAACATTATAAAATAAATAAAAGTACAAACCAAAGTTGCAACATTTCGTCTGATTTTTGTAGGCCAAAATGTCATTTGATATAATGGAAAAATTATGATATCTCGACCGAAAATTGACAAACGCGGTATAATGTTTTGCAACAAGCCATATAAAAGGATATATTATCCAACAATCAGTTAATATATTGGCCATCTTGGGGATATATTGCCCAAAATAGCTAAAAAACAGTAAAGCATATTTAGAGACTATATCGGTTGCGACAAGCTCTATAAAGGATATATCAGATGATATATTGGGCCATGTCGGGGATATTTAAAACAATGCAGATAATGATAGAACATCTATGTTTTTTTATAAGGCTTTGATAATTTCTGGAATAAGCATTTTTGCATGTGTCAATATGCATGGACATCTATGCATGGACATCTATATTATTGGCCTTTAGTTTAGGAGATGGCCCTCATCAAAGCTATAGGCTATAGCCAACCCCAAATTGGAATAGAGGCTTTGTTCTTGTATCTATGTTCATAGCACATATACGATTGCATGTGTTTGTATATGTTTGTGTGTGCAATATGAAGATATATCTGGACACCTGTGTTTTCTTAAGGCTATGTTCTTCATTTTCTTCTTTATAGTTGAAAATTTTGCATTGCGTACTAATTCGGAGTCACATGTAATCTTTGTGACTAGTTTGAATCTTTGGTCAGATCATGGAAATTTGGGCATGCGCGAAGTTATATTTACTTTTTTGAATTTCTTGAAATTTGTATAGTAGTAGGCACTAACATTTGTGTTTTCGGATGGATAATTTGTATTGGTCCAAGCAATGGAGAATTGGGCGCGCTCTCCGTTGTAAATTTCTAGTGACAACAACTAGAGCCCAGGATATTTGCACTTGAAAAGATAACTATCCCATGCATTCCCTGTTCTTCATTGGCCTCTTTGCCTACGCATCTTTCATCTTCATTAAATCAATCTTTTGGGTCTTAGCATCTTAAGCCAGAGATGACAGTTCAATAGGGTCATCAAATATATTAGTGACAACTATTTGGAGGTTATTGAAAATTGTACTCATTTGTACAATTAATTTTAATTTCTAAGCATATTCAGGAGGAAACAGTGTCCTTTGGTTTATGTTTACGTCACCCGGGCACTTCTATCTTGAAGCCATACCTGTACCGGGCACATACATGTCCCTGTACTCGTATATAAACTCCTTGTACGTTCCTTGCGTATATGCATGATTTATTTTGGGCATGTACTCAAGTAAACAAAATATATTTCAACTTGGAACACTTGTCAAACATTTCCTGGACGTAAATCCTACACTTCATATCCACTTCTTGAAACTCGTTGCTATAAGTATTTTAATTATCATAACATGTGACTAAAATTCCTTTGATCTCATGTAAACTATTAATTTCAATACATAATGTGTATATGAATATTTATATAGCATTGTCCTTGCACCCTGCCTTTTACAAATTTGTTGTGTCCGTACCATGCCCATGCAACATAGGTTTTATGTAAAGGATTAGTAGCTTGGCTTTTGCGTCCCAGTCAACTGTGGGTCCCAGTCTCCATATCCTTCATGACATCTCTCTTTACGTGAGGAATAGCTGAAAAGCCTGTTCTACCATGTGGCTCACAGCTATTCTGTTGAAGCTTGCAAATATTCATTTAATGTCCTTCTGGAATCATGCCAATCTTGAAATGTTGTTTATCCATGTCCTTTTTTTAATCACATATTAAGTAACTGTGACTGTATCATTCATAAATTCTCAAATGTTCTTTTCCTTATTTAGGTTGGGAGGATCAAAATGAAAAGAGGATACAAGGACCAATGGCCATGGAATATAAGGATATACACTGACAGCAGTGGAAATAACAAAGGGGATGCCTGTCTTGCTTATGAGGATCCTTCTGCAGCACATTCTGCAGGGGGATTCTACAACAGTTAGTTTTTCCCAACATTTCGCTTTTTTGCAAGGCTACCTCTGAAATTTCTTTTCATTCTCTTGTGTGCTACTTGTTTCAGACTATGACATGAGGGGTTATCGCATCAATGTTGCCATGGCAGAGAAATCTGCACCTAGAGCTCCACCTGCACAAGGTCATGGGTATGCATTTTATCACCTTTGATTCTTTGTTGTACTTTGGAATTGTTTTGTTAAAATGTATTTGTGCCCAATCTGCTGTTTTGTTGATTTTTTTAATTCATAGATCGTGTTAGTTTCATTGCAATTTCTGTTTAAGAAGCATATCTCGTTCTCACTCTTTATGTTTCTTAAGGTAAGTCATTACTCAAATAATTCAAGATTTCAAGTATTCCACCCGCAGGAGTAGATGATCCTTTGAGGAGCATATCCAAGAATTTTTTTTTATCAAGGCCCTGTTTGGCAAAGGGTTAAGAAAGGGGGATTAAGGAGAAGGATTAATATAGTTAGACCATTTGATAACCCAATGGACTAAATTATTAACCCGTTATATAAGTTTTATTTTAGGTCATGTGATCATTTTTAGTGTTTGGGAATAACAAGGATTTTGACTATTTTCTTTATAATTAGAGGGATTAACTCTTAATCCTTCCAAATAGGAGTAGTAGTAAACCCCTCATTTTGTGAGGTAACCTCATTTTAATCCCTCTAGAGGGGTTAGCTTAACTCTTCTGCATTTTCTGTGTTTGTCAATTTATGGTGTGTTAACTCACTTTAACCCTTATATAGATTTTTTATGTTTGGTTGGTTAAGAAGGGGGTAAATTTTCCTTAACTCCTCACTTAACCCTTTGCCAAACAGCACCTAAAAGCTGTATATTATTGTTATCTCTAGGAAAATTGTGCTTTTCTTTCAAGTTGACGTGTGTGGAAAGTACAATGAGTTCATATATTTCTATTTCGATTGAATCGGTACTTTGGGTTTAGATATTCTCTTTTTTCTCAAAGACTAGGTTTTACTTTTAAACTTCCTACTGGTAATTAGAACTAGAAGGTCCTTATAAATGGGTCTGAAATCTGTTTGCATGTGGGCTCAACCTATGATAAATCGAATATATAGCATATTGTAAGATATACTAGTCGTATCGTAGACATTTATCATGAGGTACCTAAGTACGATAAATATCATCTCTCTTACATATCATATTTGAATTGTAAGGTACATATTGCATATGAGAAGCGATTGACAACTCTGACTAATCTTTAAACAAAAATAAAAAAAAATCCTCGGGACATTTTGGTGGCAAAAGGATGGGTGTCATTTTTGAATGTATTTTGTTTGGGATTCATATTCTTTTTAGGATTATAAAGTGTTGGATGGGTCATTGCAATTTAAGGTTGTGTAGCCTGGGTAGCAGATGGGCGTTCAGGCGGTTCGTTCTAGCTCTCTTTCGCCTGAAACGTTGCGTACTGGTTGATAACTCCTTTAACAATATAAACCGTTATAAAGATTCTTGCTGAGCTTTATTTTTCATCACCCCCCCCCCCCCCCCCCCCAGTAGTAGATTTTGAGACATCTACTTTTTGGTTCTGGATCACAAGCTGTATGAGATGAAGTTGATAATTGAATTTATATTGTTTTAAGGCAGAACATATACTTCTATGTTTTGTAGTTTGTTGCATTTGGGAAGCACTTCAAGGTTCTACTCTTTTTTATCGCTTCTTATTTTGTCATGCTCTATTTTCGTAACCTTCTTCACAATTAAATTCATTCGCATTAGAGTAGATAAGCGGGAACAAGATTGAAGGCATGTCTAGATTATTTCTATAGGTCTAGCCGCACTGTAAAAGCAAAATTATTTACTGTTCATATTGTTATGGAGCATCTGTTTCTTATTGCGGTATGTATATTTGGATAAGGGTTAGTACTGGGTGGACCTCCTGTACTATTACCCAATTACAAGTTGACCCCCTGTACTGTTGTTGCAGATAAATCCCGAGTGAATTTTTTCACACTCTACCCTCCAGTGGTCTATTTGTGACAAAATATTTCACTAAAGGGTTAATCTGCAACATTAGAACTGCGTGAGGTATACCCGCAATTGGGCAATAGTAGTGGGGGTCAATCCGCAATTAACACGTTTTGATAAACCTAAACCTTTGTCTTATACTGTTATGTTCTTTTCTCCCTATGTTTGTGTAGGGGCGGTAGAGGTGGTGGGTTACGGGTGGTGGTGGGGTGGTGGTGTGGATGGAGGAGGGACGCAGGGACAATTATCGGGGTGGTGGAGGTTCAGGGCCTGACAGACACGGGCACGGTGGTCAGCGTTCTCGCCCGTATTGATCAAAGATCCATTTAGCATGTACTATTAGAGTCAATGATCTCTTGGACTAACTCTTTTTATTTGGTGACCTGTACTCAAAGTGGAGCCTAAGGTAGGTTATGCCTATCCTAGGTCCCTTCCTTTGTTTTGTTTTCCCCTTTTGAAGTTGGATGGTTGTTTTAACTTCTTGAAACTTAAAATTGATTTGTGTTGTGTTGATGTTTTTTTTTATAGTGGCTGATGGATGTAATCTCCAACTTGCTGGTAGGTTTTGAGTTTTTTTCAGGTGAGTAGTGATTTACCCCATTAGAAACAAATCTTAATGACATATTATTGTTATTATATTCCCTTGCATTTATCTGCAGGGATGCATGGTTGTGTGGAGGCCAAGCCTGTCTAAAATGTGTTTTAACTTCTCACATTGGTTGCCTACGTGACTTGATTTCTTTAATAAATACTGATAAAAGCGATTAATTAAAGAAGGGTTTGGTAGAGCCTTCTTAGATCTGTATTTGGCTGTGCAGATATATATATTTGTGAATATATTAATTTAGGGGGGTTATTGGTTGGTGTAATTTTGGGGTAAGTGGGATAATTTTTGAGACTTTAGGTGTTATTCGTTGGGACAATGAGATTTGGATTTCACTTGAAGGTGTTATTCATTGGGGCAATGAGATTGAGATAATTATCAAACTTTTCCCAAAATTATCCCACTTCAATACAAACTTTTTGTCTCAACCTCCAAAAGACACTCCATTTTTAACTTTGGGACAATCATGAGTAAAGTGAGATAATTTTGAAACACTAATTTATTAAATATCTAATATATGTTAATTGTATTGTAATATATAATATATCTAAATTATATTATATTATAAAATTCTGTTATAACATAAGATAATAAAATATTATGTAATATTATCTAATATAACATTATTATATATTATTATTACATATTGGTTAATAATATTTCATATATTATAATACTAGTATTATAAAAATATTAGTTAGAATAAAAATATTATTGTAATATTTTTATAATATAAAATATTGTATTATAATATAGTGCTTATATATTTAATATAATGATATACTAATTATATTTTTAACTTCTCACATTGGTTGCCTACGTGACTTGATTTCTTTAATAAATACTGATAAAAGCGATTAATTAAAGAAGGGTTTGGTTGAGCCTTCTTAGATCTGTATTTTGCTATGCAGATATATATTTGTGAATATATTAATTTAGGGGGGTTATTGGTTGGTGTAATTTTGGGGTAAGTGGGATAATTTTTGAGACTTCAGGTGTTATTCATTGGGACAATGAGATTTGGATTTCACTTGAAGGTGGTATTCATTAGGGCAATGAGATTGAGATAATTATCAAACTTTTTCCAAAATTATCCCACTTCAATAAGAACTTTTTGTCCCAACCTCCAAAAAACACCCCATTTTTAACTTTGGGACAATCATGAGAAAAGTGGGATAGTTTTGAAACACTAATTTATTTAATATCTAATATATGTTAATTGTATTGTAATATATAATATATCTTTTATATTATATTATAAAATTCTATTATAACGTAAGATAATAAAACATTATATAATATTATCTAATATAACATTATTATATATCATTATTACATATTGGTTAATAATATTTCATAATTAATTAATAGTCTTAAATATATTGTCAATATTGTGGTAGTTATAATATTAAATAATATTTTATTACTACAATAAAAATTATAATAATCTACTACATATTAAAGTATGATAATATGTAAAATTAATATAATATAATATAATATTTAATAATACTTTATAATTAATAATATTGAACGTATTAATAGTATATTATGGTTATTGTAAATGTTATATTTTAATAAGGAACCATGTCATCAATTATTCTATTTAAGTTATACTAATTATCATAAAATAAAATAATTATATTTTAATAATAATATAATGTTTTAAATAATTATTATATGAATTAAACAAAATATTATAATATTTGATTAAATATTATATTTTTGAAATATTGTATTAAATATATTGTTTGTATATTATGTCAATTATTATGTAATATATCATATTATTATAATATATTATATTTTATTAATTAATAACATTAATTATAGTTATAATTAATTAGTAATCATAATATAATATATTATATTTTAGTATAAAGTGAAATAGTGTATTATATTATAATAACATACCAAATAATATACTAAACCAATTAGGCAAATTAATTTAGACTTAGTTGATAGATAAATATTGTACTTTAATAAGGTGTCACATCATCAATTATCTCACATGAATTGTCAAATCAAAGCTTGAAAATTGTCTAATTATCCTAAATTGTCCAACTTTACACCACTCAAATTATCCTAAGGGAATAAAATTGTTCCATTGGAACAATTATCCTACTTAGCCCCAACTTGTCCCAACCAATAATCCCCCCTTACTCTCCTATACAAGCAAATATTGAAGAGGATGTTGAAGTTATTGGGAGGGGATGAAGAAGGTCATATCTCATCTATGCTCTTCTGTTTACTATTTGACTGTATTCTCTGAGAAACTTCTTTGGTTTTTAGGTTTTGAGGTTTTCACTTATGGAGGATGTTGCTTTCAAGCTCTTTCTTTGGTATTACGTAAACAGGATCTCGAAAAATCTTTTCTCCCCTTTTGGTATTAAATCGATCGTTTGAGTTTGAAAAGCTTCTGTATTTCCTAAGATACATTATTTATTTTGCATTTAAGCATTAATTCGAGCATTACAGATTTCAAGTTGAAAACTCCATTTTTTTTTTCTTTCTTTCACCTGCGTAGTTATTATGAGTTTTTCATGATTTATTGCTGTCCTTGTTTGTCATGATTTATTGCTACAAAGGATGAGGTCCCTTCCATCAGTATGTTCTTCGCTTCTGCTAGTACTTTTTCCGGTGTTCGTCAGTTTCTCATTTTCTCTATTTTGTCCCACTTAAAATGGTAAAGCCATCTGTGCTATTGTTCTTTTGTTAGTACTTCCAACTACGGTAATCTTGCAAATGGGTTCAGTGCCTTCCTTGCCAGTAGAAGCTTAAAAATAAAATCCATGATATGTAGTGCTACAATTTCCTAAACCATAAAAAAACTACCGTTGCAGTCTGGTTGACAGCATCTTGGAGTGTGATCGAAGTAGATTTTACCTTTGATTCTTCCATGTGCTTTTTGGTTTGAACCCCATAACTCTTGTATGATTCTTATCCTATTCCTGGGGCAATCAATCTATATGTTGTACGTGCTGCAGGATGTTGGTCGAGGAACTTATAAACTTGACTGGCATAATTCAATTTTCTCAGGGTCGGTGACACATTTTTTTTAATAGTAAATTGAAAGTGTCCAAACGGTAGTTTTGAGTAGATTTTGTGCCAGAAGCATTTGTTACCTTTGTTGCAGGTTTTGCATTGCCGTGTTGTTCCTAGGCCTGGTGTTGAAACGCTCTTAGATTTTGGGTGATGTTCGGACATTTGGGGCCTTGAAAGGCTCTTATATTTTCGGTTTTGTTCCGACACTTAGGCCTGTTTGGCAAACACATGAAAGCGGGCCAGGTCTAGTCCTGATCCAGTTTTTTCCTGTTTTCTGTTTGAGAAAAAAGTGGGTGGACTCTGTTCTAATTTTTTTTTTAAATTCATTCTCCCCCACACACACACACCAAAAAAAAAAAAAAATGAAGGAAAGAAAGAAAGAACCCAAAGTTTATTTTTGGCCCGGTGAAGGGGATGTACAAAGTTGGCCAAGTTTGTACTTGATTGCCAAACAGACCCACTAGTTTGTAACTTATTTTGTTGTTGCAACAATTTTGGTGTTACAATAACATTTAACCAAACAACACTTTTAAATCTTTAATGTAGTTGCAACTTTTCTTGCGGATTTGCAAATGAGGGGTTTAGTTTAAAAATTAAATTGTAATAAGCTGCAACTTTTTGATATATAATTATAGTAGAGTACATATAAAAATTGTATCAGAAGAGTCTGCACGGGAATGATTTGTACTAATCCATATAAAGAATAATGGTTTAGAAGTTCCATTATCTCCTGCATCATCCTAATTAGGATATGTGACAAATCAATGAGCAGACAACAGCAACAAAAACATCAAAATATTTATTCCAGTTGTTTGAGGTTAACTACATGAATTCTATTCTTCCATTCCATTTTATTATTGGACATCACCTCCGTTAAGTTAAACATAAGCATATTCTTTTTAATTGTTGCCAACAAGTTCTTTTAGATCTGACTTTAGATCTTTTAGTCTCATTAATTATAATACTATCATTTTTTCTAACTGGTGCATTAAGATGTTTTTGTTATACATGACCAAACCATCTTAGTGGATTTTCTCTCATTTTATCCTTAATACAAGCAACCTCTAATTTACTACAGATATACTCATTCTTTATCTCATCTTTTAGTGTATATCTCACAAGACCATCGTAACATTCTCATTTCTGCTACATTCATTTTTTTTGTATATATTGTATTTTAATTGTTCAACATCCTGACTCATAAAAGCATTGTTAGTCTTATAACTGTTCTATAGAATTTTTCCTTTAGTTTCATTGATATTCTATGGTCACATAAGATTTCCGAAACACTCCTCCATTTCAACCATCCCGATTTGATTCAAAGTCTTATGTGAAACAGATTCAAAGCCTTGCTCTTCGATCTCTACTTTATAATATATTTTGTGAAGGACTTGCAATAATTGAGTTGTTTATCAAGTATTTACATTTTAAAAACAGCAATTATGTTTCATCAAATTATTTTATTATTTTTAAATTAGTTTAAGTATGATGAAACTTTGGATGTGAACTCATTGTTTTGCTTGCATGACTGGTAAGCAATTTATATTTCTGGCATTTGGCGGTCTTTGTTTGAAACCGCTTAAACTTTGTCATTTTCACAAAACATTCTGAGCTTTGGGAAGTTTCACAAAACTTATAAATTTTAGAAAATTAAGGGTAAGATTTTAAAAAACCATTTTAGCACTTTTTTTTAAGGATAGCCCAATCTGGAATTAAATTCAAGACTACAGGAACATATTAGAATCTCATGATCATCCGTAATGGGTAACCATGTTCATACTTAAACAACTATAACGTTCATTCTTAACATAAAAACTTGAATACCTTCTTCGTAATATTGACATCGAGTAGCAATTGAACATTTCATTTTTTTTAATAATTTCCCATAATTCAAGGGGTCTGTGCGCTTACTCAAGTTCACGGGGATTTTGTGTAAGTTTCAAAGTTTAAGAGGACTTTATACAAAACTTAGCGAATTTTCAGCGGGCTTGTGAAAGTCACCCAAGCAAAAGGGCTATTTAAAAATTAGTCCTTATGATCAGTAATTCCATATTAGTTCATCAAATCCTGGAAATTGCTTATCGATATCTCAAAACTTAAAGGATCTTGCAATGCAGTCCTTCAATCTCCAAAATACCCTTGTTTTCTTTTTCTCC